AGTTAGGGCACCATTTTTTTTTGGTTTTCACTCCTGTCTCTCCCATGGGGTGAACCTTGAGTACAGGGACTGTCTTCCTCTTTGTAATCCCAGCAGCCAGCACAGCGCTGACTCATGTAGGTGCTCAGAAGGTATTTGTTGAGTGATTGACCAACAAGCCAACCTCCCATGGGGCCTCGGTGTCCGGCCTCCGGCTCACCTCCGTCCCCCCTCACCTCCCAGCTCCCCGTCTCCTCCAGATGTGAACACACCCCCACACGCACGCTCACGTCGCCTGTGCACTCCCACTGCTCGGCCTTTCGCCTCCGTCACAGCGGCCTCTGAGCGCTTGGCGTGTGGCTGGTCTGAATGGACATGTGCTGTTCGTGTCAACCGCACACTGAATTTTGAGGACTCAGTGCAGTGTGCGTGTATATAAATGTACACTTATATGTGCACGCATAATGTATTACTTGTTGGAATGACAATACTTTTTGCATATCAGGGTAAATAAAATCTACGATGCAGATCAAGTTCCCGTCTCTCTGCAGCTGCCGGAGAACGGAAGGTCACACGTGAGGCTCACACACCTTCCTGTTGGACGGACAGTGATCCCAGCGGCTCAGGAGCCAGAGGCGCCTTCTTTCTCCGGAAGGTGGCGAGCCCCTCTCGCCTGTGACATCACGCCTGAAGGTCTGGAAGGTTCCGGAGGAAATCTTTCTGTCCTATGACCGATATTGAACCCCAGATTAGGGTGGGCCCCCCTCAGCGCTGCAGTGAGTCAGCCGATCTAAGCGAAGGAGGCTTCAGAATGAGCCTGGAGCGCCGCCGGGGAGCGCCCCCTGCAGGAAGGGCGGAGCGCCGCCAGGGAGCGCCCCCTGCAGGAAGGGCGGAGAGCTGTCGGGGAGCCGCCGCGGAGCGCCCCCTGCAGGAAGGGCGGAGCGCCGTCGGGGAGCGCCCCCTGCAGGAAGGGCGGAGCGCCGTCGGGGAGCGCCCCCTGCAGGAAGGGCGGAGCGCCGTCGGGGAGCGCCCCCTGCAGGAAGGGCGGAGCGCCGCCGGGGAGCGCCCCCTGCAGGAAGGGCGGAGCGCCGCCGCGGAGCGCCCCCTGCAGGAAGGGCGGAGCGCCGCCGCGGAGCGCCCCCTGCAGGAAGGGCGGAGCGCCGCCGGGGAGCGCCCCCTGCAGGAAGGGCGGAGCGCCGCCGAGGAGCGCCCCCTGCAGGAAGGGCGGAGAGCCGCCGGGGAGCCGCCAGGGAGCGCCCCCTGCAGGAAGGACGGCGTGCGGCTGGGAGACTCCGCAGCGGAGGGGCCCCCGGCCACCTGCACACACTCTGCTCTCTGCTGGCCAGGGGTTGGCAGCCTTTGGGGAGATGGGCAGTGGGTGCCGAGGGGCACAGCCCCGTCCTCCTCCAGGTCCGAGGGCTCCTTCCCCAGGTGCCAGTGCCGGCAGCCAAGGCTCACAGCTGTACCCCCGCCCAAGGATTGCCATTGGCTGAGAAAAGATGCCCCGCCCCTGTGAGGACGGTCCTGGGGGAAGGGCCACCCCAGCTCAGAGCCCCTCCGGGGGCCCTGAGGGCTCCGCTGCTCCGCCTCCTCAGCTTCACCGCTGCTGACCTTGCCCTCCCAGGCACTGGCCTGACCACACGCCCAACAAAGGTCTCCATGTAGTACAGAGAGTCAGAAAGTCTATTCCTGGGGAATCTCACCCTTAGCAACAGCTGGTGCCAGGTGCCCTCCCCAGAACTTGGAGATCAGAGGATCAACTTGGCTGGTGTGGCTCAATGGATAGAGCGCCGGCTTGTGAGCTGAAGGTTCCCAGGTTTTATTCTGGTCAAGGGCATGTGCCTGGGGTGTGGGCTTGATCCCCAGTGGGGGACGTGCAGGAGGCAGCCGATCAGTTATTCTTTCTCATCATTGATGCTTCCATCTCTCTCTCCCTCTCCCTTCCTCTCTGAAATCAATAAAGAAAAAAAAAGAAGAAATCGGATGCCTGAGGGTGACGCAGGTGCTGGAATGTTTTGAAGCGGCCAGGTGGTTCCAACATGCAGTCGGGTGTGAGAACAAACAGCCGGTTTGAAGCAAGGAGGGCGGGGCAGGCGACAGCAAAGGCCAGGGCCTCACACCAAGATATTCATTATAGGGGTTTGGAGGCCAAGGGCTCGCCCCACCCGAGGCTCAGACAGACCCTCCTGTGTTCCCCCTTCCCCCCTCCGTGAGGCCAGGTGCCTGGTTCTTCCCGACTCTCTCACTGCCCTTCCCCTGGCCTGTGCTACCACCACTTCCTCAGACCTCACAAAGCTGATTTCCAGACAAAATACAAGACACGCGTGAGATCAGAATTTTGGATAAACAGTGCTTTAGGTAAGTACGTCCTAAACAGTGCACCAGGCATACTTTAAAAAATTACTAGTTGCCCTGACTGGTTTGGTTCCATGGATAAAACCGGTTTGGCTCAGTGGATAGAGCGTCGGCCTGCGGACTGAAGGGTCCCAGGTTCGATTCCGGTCAAGGGCATGTACCTTGGTTGCGGGCATGTCCCCGGTGGCGGGTGTGCAAGAGGCAGCTGGTCGATGACTCTCTCTCATCGATGTTTCTGGCTCTCTGTCTCTCTCCCTTCCTCTCTGTACAAAATCAATAAAATATATTTTAAAAAAACTCAATAAAATATATATATATTTAAAAAAAAAAAAAAAAAAAAGCATTGGCCTGCAGACTAAAGGGTCCCGGGTTCGATTCCGGTCAAGGGCACATGCCGGGGTTTTGGGCTGGATCCCTCGTGGGGGATGTGTAAGAGGCAGCCAATCGATGATTTCCTGTCATCACTGATGTTTCTCTCTCTCTCTCTCTCCCTCTCCCTTCCTCTCTGAAATCAATAAAAATATATATTTTAAATTACTAGTTGTTTTCCTGAAATTCAGATTTTTATTTGCTAAGCCTAGCAGCCTTATCCACAGCGTATCTCCTGAGGCCACTGTTGGTCGGGTGGACTCGATTAGGGGCGGGGGAGAGACAACACCCGGGTGGTGGTGGGGTGCCTGGGAGTTCTGGAATGCTTCTGCTGATTCTCTCTGGCCAGGGCTGGGACCAGAGACAAGTTCTGTCACTCCTCATGCCCGTGTTCTATCTTCCAGCCGACCCCAGGCCGTGCTCACCTGCCCTCCTCTGCTGCCCCGCAGTCTGGCTGTGTTTAGTGTACTGTCTACTGTCTCGCCTTGTTCTCGGGGCTCCATGTGCTTCTAGAAAGATAGGACCACCTGGCAGCTCGTGACCGGCCACGAGGGGGCGCAGGGGAGCACAGGACCCAGGCCTCTGCTGGGACCTTGAGGCGGGAGGTGCCCAGCCCAGGTCTGGGAGCCTGAGGTCTTCTGGTCCACGCTGGCTGCGGGGTGTGTTGTGGGATGGGACCCGCCTGGTGGCCAGGGGAGGGGCGGAGGGACCTGGAGAAGGGGATGAGTGTGGGTGTGTGGGGGCTCCGAGGCTGCTCTGGGGTCACCGCAGTGTCAGGACCCTGTGGGCCCAGCAGCACGGGGCAGGGCTGGCATCGCCATTCCTCCCGGATCGCAGATCATGGATGAGAACAGGCTCTCCTGGTATGGGTGGGCCGGGGATCAGCATTGCTGGGTGAGTGGACAAGCCAGGCCCTGATTCTGCAGGAAGTACGTGCAACATCACAGGAGAGGTGTGAGCTGTAGGGGAGGAAGGGTCATTCACACGCACAGCCCCCAGTGGGAGCCCCGCCCGCACCCCAGGCTCCTGGGCTCCACCCGCACCCCCAGGGCTGGATGGAGGGTCTCCTCCCTCCGCTCCGGTGGACTCTGACGTGGGGACCCTGTCTGTCGACCAGCAGGAGAGCCATGAAGGTGGGGACCGGCCACTGGGAAAGCACTGGCCCAGCGCTCCGGCGGGAACTGGGGGTCTCGGGGAGCAGGTTCCCTGAGAGTCTTCACCCCAGGGCTCCGGTAACACAGGCTAATCCTCGCCGAAGGGCGTGGATTAGAGGAGGCTGGTCCCTCTCGCAGATGAAACTGGGGGGGGGGGAAGATTAGAGACCTCTGAGCACGTCATGTGGGGCCCGGGGGGCGGGGCCACGCTGTCCCCGCGCCGCCCCTCAGCGCCCCGGTTTCCTGTTCCTGCCCCTGTGGACGCACCGGGGTCGGCTCTGGGGGACCCAGGCTGTGCCTGGTGAGTGGGACCCCGCCCGGCGCCCAGCCGCCAGGGGCAGGAGGACCCTGTGTGGGCTGTGAGACGGTGAGAAGAGGCGGAGGCGGAGGGCAGATTTGGAAGCCAGGGGGTTCGTTTGATTGTTGTTGATCCTCACCCGAGGGTGTTTTCCCAGTGATTTTTAGAGAGAGTGACAGAGAGAGAAATGTCGATGTGAGAGAAACACATCGATTGGTTGCCTCCTGCGTGCACCCCCACCAGGGCCCGGGCCCAGGAGGAGCCTGCAACCGAGGTACGTGCCCTGGACTGGAATCGAACCTGGGACCCTTTGGTCGGCAGGCCGAGGCTCTATCCACTGAGCCACACGGGCTAGGCACCACGGGGCTTTGTAAGGGGGGCCTCCTCTAAGAGCTGTACATCCTTGGGGGTCCTGGGAGAAACAAATGGCGAGCAGCCAGCTCCCCGGCATGCTGCCCATGGGGCCTCTCCCCATCCCTGACTCCCCCCCACAACCTGTGCACAGCCCAGCCAAGGCCACGGGAACATGTGGGCTCACCCAGGACCTGCTTGACTAGGGGTTTGGCTCTCTAGGGCTGAGGACTGAGGCGACACCATCTGTGAGTGCCCCCTGGGCAGTAAGACAAACCCGCCCGCCACCCCCAGCTGCATTGGCAGTGGCCAGTGCAGGCCCGTGTCCCTCCTCCCTGGGGGAATGCTGTCAGGCTCCCCTGGGCTCCGATGCCAGGGGAGGCCATCGCCGTTTGGAGGGGCTGCTCTGAGCGGGCTTCCGGCTTCCGGGAAAGGGTGGGGAGAGCACCGGGGTTTAATCCCCAAAGCAGCAGGTACGGGGGTGAGGGGGAGGATGTGCTGTCGGGCTGGCCCCACCCCAGGTGCAGCTACAAAGAGGCAGACGCACCCTCACTCCGGCCCATCCCTCCCGGAGGACGACAGGCCGCTGACCGACAGGTGCCCGCGCTTCGTCTCCAGGGAGAGCCCAGCGGCGAGATGCACACGCAGAGCCTCCACCGCCTGCCGCCCGTGGCCCTGCGCCTGCCGCCCGGGGCGCCCCAGCCCCCCGAGGCCCCCGAGGCCCCCGAGGCCAGCGGCGCCACACGCTCCCCGCCAGCGAGTTCCGCTGCCTCACGCCCCAGGACGCGGCCGGCATGTTCGAGATCGAGCGGGAGGGTGAGTGCCCCCCCCCCCCGGCCCGTGGAGTCAGCGCATCAGACTGTGTGCATGTTCTCGTGTGTGTGTTCCTATGTGTTCCCGTGCGTGTGCATGTTCCCGTGTGTTCCCGTGTACACCTGTATTTGTGTGTGCATGTTCCCGTGTGTGCTTTCCTGTGCGTGTGCAGCCCTGAATCCCGGCTCCTGTGGGGAGGGCTGGGGTGGACGGTGGGGTGGCACGGCGCCCTCAGAGCCCCCTCGCCTCCCCGCAGCCTTCATCTCGGTGTCGGGCGAGTGTCCACTGTACCTGGACGAGCTCCGGCACTTCCTGACCCTGTGCCCGGAGCTGTCCCTGGGCTGGTTCCTGGAGGGCCGCCTGGTGGCCTTCATCATCGGCTCGCTGTGGGACGAGGACAGGCTCACCCAGGTGAGGGCGGGTGCTCCGGGGAGGGCAGGGTGCTCCAGCGGGGGTGTGTGTGTGTGTGTGGGGGCCCACAATGCCCACCCCCAGGGAACCTCTGGAAGAGGCCCCCACCGGCCTGGAGCCGGCCCCTCAGGCGGACGAGGGCGGGAGCCCAGACTGCTACTTCTTCCTCCAAACCAGACAGCACAGGCTGTGGGTGCCCTCAGGGCAGGAGGGCCTGAGCTGGGGTCCCCAGAGCCCTAGCGAAGGGCCTGCCGGGAGGGGGTGGGTATGCACTTTGGGGGCCTCCTGCTTGGGAGGCCTGGCCGGAGGCCCCCGGGGGCGCCCGCCGGGTGCCAGGGTGACGTGCCTCGTGCTCCCCCGCAGGAGTCGCTGCAGCTGCACCGGCCCCGTGGCCACACGGCCCACCTGCACGTGCTGGCCGTGCACCGCGCCTTCCGCCAGCAGGGCCGCGGCTCGCTGCTGCTCTGGCGCTACCTGTGCCACCTGGGCGGCCAGCCGGCCGTGCGCCGCGCCGCGCTCATGTGCGAGGCCCCGCTGGTGCCCTTCTATGCGCGCTTCGGCTTCCTCCCCGTGGGCCCCTGCGCCGTGACCGTGGGCCCGCTGGCCTTCACCGAGCTGCAGTGCCCGCTGCAGGGCCAGGCCTGCCTGCGGCGGTACAGCTGCTGAGCGGGCGGGGGCGGCGGGCTCTCTCCTGCCTCCAGCGCCCTGCCCTGGCCTCCCCAGCTCCACCGGGGCTCCCAGGTGTGGGGGGGGGGTGATGGAAATAGAGAAAGGCCACGTCCAGCCAGTGTGGCTCAGTGGTTGAGCCTACGTATGAACCAGGTCACTGTTCTATTGCCGGTCAGGCTGTGGGCTCAGATCCCGTGTGGGGTGTGCAGGAGGCAGCCAATCAATGATTCTCTCCCTCTCTGAAATCCATCTATAATAATAAAAGGATACTATGCTAATAAGCCTGGAGGTCATTCCTGCCCAAACTGGGGGCTGGAGGGAAGCCAGCCCGGGGCCTGGGGCCTGCGGGCAGCTGGAGGGAAGCCGGGGTCCCGGTGCCAGAGGGAAGCGGGTGCCGGCAGCCGGGGAGGGAGGGCCTGCTCTTGCACCAATTTCCACGCATTGGGCCTCTATTAAAAAAAAGAGAGAACGTGGCCAGTTCTCCCAGCTGGATGGGAGACGTGTCCTGCAGGCTGCCCCACGAGACCCTCGGGGTCTCCCGAACTGCAGACGGTGCCCGGGGGGCTGGCAGGCGGGGACAAGCACCCGCCTCAGCTCCCCCGCCCCAGAACCCATGGGTCCTGCAGGAGGAGGCGGGCAGCTCAGGACCAGGGCGTCCTCCACAGCCCAGTGAGGGCCCTTGTTCTCCTGGGTCCCAGGGGGTCCCTTCTCCTTTAGCCCTGGGACGGGGGGCGGGGGAGCTGGAGGGTGCAGGGGCTGCGCTCCCAGCTCCAGGACCCTGGGTCCTCGGCCCACAGTGACCGCGTGGGCGGCTCCCCCACGCAGGGAAGGGTTGGGTGAGGCACAGGTACCATGCACGGAGCTGTCCAGGGAGGCCTGCCCCTCAGCCAGCCTCCTGCCCCTACAAGCACCCCCCCTACATTCTTAGAGTCTAAGAATTTAACTCCAACCCCTTCAAGGGACCCACTGAGGCCCTCCATGGGACCCCAACCCGGTTTCTGTTCCAACCAAACCCCCAGAAGTCCCACAGGATTACCACGACCCCTTTCTGCCAGCCTCTGACCCTGACTCCCTCCCAGCCGACCCCACCCTCTCCCACCCCCAAATTAAGGTTCCAGCTTTCACTCTTCCCAAGGCCTTGTGTCGAAAGGAGACGTTCCCTGAAGAATACCATTTAACACACCTGAGACATCATCCATACAAACTTAGCGTTACTTTAAAAATTAGGGTAACAGATGCCCTTACTGTGCCCCGGGCAATCCTGGGAGCAGGGCCTGGGGTGGCCCCGCCCCCGCCCGCCCGCCAGTGGTGGGGGCTGCTGCTGTCAGAGGCTCCCCGTGAGCAGACCAGACCGCGCCTCGGGGTGAGGGGGCGGGGCACAGGCTCCCCCGCCCAGGCCGCGGCCAAAGCCTCTCCCCTGCAGCCGCTGAGGAACGGGCTGGCAGGGCAGAGAGGGGAGGAGAGCCACGTCCCCGGTAAGGCCACGCCCAGACAGAGCGGGAGAGGCCCCAGCTCTCAGCACAGGCTGTGGTGGGAGGTGGGGGTCACGACAGCAGGGTAAGTCGGGGCCCGGGCCCTGGGCTGCAGGGAAGCAGGTGCTCAAGGCTGTACCCCAGCCCGGCCGGGAACACCCGAGGGAGGGCACCTCACCCCCCCTCAGGGAACCCGCCTGTGTGACCGTCTCGGATCCGGCACCAGGGCCTGGGCGCCTGCGGTGGGTCTCCGGAGTGTGGGTGGGTGCTCTGCAGGCAGGCAGCCTGCCCAGGGCTCGGCCTGCGCCCAGGGCTCGGCCCCGTGCCCCGATGGAGCTGCGGGCGGAGCCGCGGGCGGCCAGGCGGTGGTCAGTGCAGCACCTGGTCCAGCTCGTACTTCTCGCAGAAGCGGCTGGTGAAGGGGAAGCAGGTGAGGTGCTCGATCCAGGGCCAGTGGATGGGGTACACGTACAGCCAGACGACCAGCGAGGCGAATAGCCCGGCGAAGACCAGCAGCGACACCAGGATGAGGGCGCGCTTGCGGTACTTGTCGCTGGTGCCGAAGGTGATGTAGGGCAGGAAGGCGAAGGCCAGCAGCAGGCCGCTGAGGAAGCCGAAGATGTGGGCGATGTTGTCGATCCAGGGCAGCAGGCCGCACACGAACAGGAAGAGCACCACGGCCGCCAGGTGCAGGAAGGCCCGCCACGGCCGCTCCAGCAGCTGCCAGCTCTGGATCAGCTCCACAAAGAGGCAGGCCAGCAGGCCGAACTGCGACCCCGCCGGGCCCACCTGGGGGGGGAGGCGGGTGCTCACTCCCAGGTGCCAGGTGCGCAGGGAGCCCCGCACCCGGGCCGCCTATGGGGGAGCCCGACCCAGGGTGGGGCCCCGAAGCTCAGGGGACAGCTGGGGCCGCTGGACCAAGGCTGGGCTGCTCCCACTGGTTCAGCCAAAGGGCACCTTCCACTGGGCAGGGCAGCCGCCTGAGGGCGAACGGGTCACAAACTGCCATTCCTGCCGGGCTGGTGTGGCTCACTGGTTGAGCACTGTCCCATGAACCAAGCGAGAGGTCGCTGGTTCGATTCCCGGTCAGGGCACATGCCCGGGTTTCGGGCTTGATCCCCAGTGTGGGGCGTGCAGAAGGCAGCCGATCGATGTTGTTTTTCTCTTATCACTGATGTTTCTATCTCTCTATCCCTCTCCCTTCCTCACTCTCTAAAAATCAAGCAAAACCTATTTGAAAAAAAACAAAAGAAAACTCATGGTTCCTACGGGTTAAGAATGGTCACAGCCTGGCCACTCCCTGTGGCTCTCCCTGCAGACCGGGGGCCTGTGGTGGGCAGTGGTCACAGAGCCGAAGCAGAGGGAGGAGCAGGGAGAGGGCGTCCAGAAGGTCCTTCCGGAGCTGCCATCTGAGCGTGACTCAGGAACAAGCTCCCTCGCGCCCGGGATTAAGGGATCAGCCAATAAGCCTCCAGCTTAGCCGCTCATCCGCTGCTGAGCCCGGCCAGGCAGGGGCCTGGGCCGCCCCCCTCCTGCCCCGACCGACCGACCGACCGACCGAGTCCCCACCTCTGCCCGGTACGGGAGGAAGATGGCGCTGGCGAGGTTGCCGGTGATGCCGCTAAGGATGAAGATGATGGAGATGCGGTGCCAGCCGGCCAGCTTCTCCAGGTCCCGCAGGATGGTCATTTGGAAGACCACGGACACGAAGCAGTGCACCAGGCTGGGGGGGGGGGGGCGGGCCGGCATTAGCCTCTTGGTCTGCCCGCGGCTGCTGGCCAGGCACTTCCAGAGGGGGGGGGGGGCAGGAGGGCTGCGCCCTGGCCCAGGAGCCCCTCTGGGGGGGTTGAGGGGGGAGCCCAGGGGGCGGCCACCACAGGGCGCTGGGGGCAGCCATCTTGGAGCCTTACCCAGCGTGGAGGAACAGGGACAGCCAGAGCCTGTAGAACTGGTCGGGGACCTCGGGGTTGAGAAAGGGCAGCAGCCCGCACACCTTGTCCAAGCAGTGCACCTGGGGGCGACACAGGGTCAGTGCCGGGGCCTGGCTGGGCTGGGCGCCCGGTGTGGGAGGGCCCTGTGAGGCCAGCTCCAGTAGCTGCCGTGCACTGCTTCTCTCTTTGGGGAGAAGAGGGGGTCATCTGGAAAGCCAGATGGGGCTGAGGCAAATGACATCAGCCTTTTTTATTTTTATTTATATATATATATATATATATATATATATATATATATATATATATATATTGATTTTTACAGAGAGGAAGGGAGAGAAATAGAGAGTTAGAAACATGGATCAGAGAGAAACATCGATCAGCTGCCTCTTACACACTCCCCACTGGGGATGTGCCTGCAACCAAGGTACATGCCCTTGACTGGGATGAAGCCCAAAACCCGGACCTGTGCCCTGACTGGGAATCCAACGGTGACCTCCTGGTTCACAGGTTGATGCTCTACCCCTGAGCCACACCAGCTAGGGCCCCACTGGTCCCGCCAGGCCCCACCTCACCTGCGAGCAGAGCGTCGCCTCCTCATGGAAATAGCCGTGCATGAACTCACAGTACTCCCGGGTGGTGATCTCACAGCTGGAGGAGGGGCGTGTCAGGGCCCGCGTTCCCTGCCCACTTGCTGGTGCCAGCGCCCGGCCAAGCCAGCAGGGCTAGTGGGCGGACAGTGCCCCTCGGAGCCCCGGGCCCCGGGGAAGCCCCCTTCGTCCTGCTCCCCCCACAGGGCCCCAGCGTGGACGCAGGTGGGCGTGGGCCCAGGGCCCGGGGCGGGCGGAGGCTCACCTGCCCTTGGTGCCGATGCAGCAGGGCCGGCCCCGGATCTCGCAGTCCATGTGCTGGAAGCCCGTGAGGTTGCTCCGGGCCTGCTCCGTGCAGATCTGCGGGCGCCGACCAGGCGGGCTGTGTGGGTGGCGGGAGCCCCTCCCCGGCCCTCCCAGGCCACCCTCTGCCCCGGGCACTCACCGGCCACTTGGTGATGTCATCAGGCCAGATGTGGGCACCACTGGAGGCCGGCTCCTCGCAGGTCCTGGAGGGAGAGGCCAGAGGGGGCCAGGTGAGGGGCCGGGGCACCCCCAGAGAGCCACACCCGCCCCAGTGTCCCTGTGGGGGGCACAGTGCACCCATGTCCCTCGGCCCGTCTTCCCGGACAGCCTGGCCGGGGCCCGGGACTCACCGGGGGTCCTGGCGGCACACGGCGCCCGACGTCCGCGTCTGGCCCGGGTCGGACTTGTCCAGGGGGGGCCCGGTGTCGTCCTGCCACTTCACAAAGGTGGCCAGAGTCTCCTGGGGAGGGCAGGCGGCCACCGCAGGGGTCAGGGGGCCCCAGGAGCGGCTCTTCCTGTTCCCAGGACCCCACGCCCGGTGACACCCTCAGACCGGGCGTCCACTGGCTTGGGGCGGGAGGCTGGCACCCTTCCTGTGCTGGGCCACATGGGGAGGTGGACAGGGTGGACAGGGGAATGCAGGGCCGTGGACAGGGTGCATGAGGACGGGCAGGGCTGAGGGAGAGGGGCCATGGTCGCTGCCCTGGAAGATGCCCCGGCCAGGGCAGGGGACGGGGAGGGGCGGGCGGCGGCCGCGCACCGAGCAGTCCTTGCGCTGGGTCTGGATGCAGCCCGAGTGGTCGTTCTGGACGCAGCAGCCCGAGTCCCGCTCCAGGTCCCGCTCCCGCTTCACCAGCTGCTCGATCTGCCGGTCCTTCCGGATGCAGGGCGAGAACTTGGCCCCCAGGTGGATCAGGTCAATCTGTGGGTGTGGGGGGCGGGGGAGTGAGCGCCCGCTCTGGTGCGTGTCCCGATGCGGGTGCAGGCCAGCCGACCCTCCCACCCAGCGGGGGAGACAGGCCCTCCTCACCGAGCTGGGGCCGATCCAGAAGTTCTCCTGCTGCAGGTACTTCACGCTCTCGTACACGCCCTTGTTCCTGAGCACCTGGCGGGAGGGGGGGAGGCGCTGGGGGCTCCGAGCCAGGGCCGGCCCCCAGGACGGGGCCCAGGACCTCCTCCATCGGGGCCAGGCTGAGGCTGTGGGAGGCGTTCAATGGCCCGCGATGCTGAAGCCTCTCAGGGGGCTGGGAGGGGCCCCGCTCCTGCAGCCCAACTCACCAGCTGGGTGGTGACGTGCTGGGCGAAGCCCACAGGCGCGATGCCGTACGTGCAGATCACCAGCAGGGTGATGACGACGTGGACGAACGTCAGCCAGTAGGTGAAGTAGGGCCTGGGGCAGAGGCGGGGTCAGCGCCCCCTGCTGCCGCCCACTCCCCCGTCACCACAGCTCCAAACCCTACGGCTGCCCGCCGCCCCGGGGAAAGCCCAACACCGGCCCCTCCCGCTGCTGGCAAGGCCCTGCTCCGCCTACCACCGCCCCGGCCTCCTCTCCTCTCGCAGCCACAGGGCCTTTGCACATGCTGCTCCTCGGCCGGGAAGCTTCCCGTTTCTCCTCCGTCCGCTGACTGCAGCTCATCCCGACCGCACCCCGCTGTCCCTCCTGCCCCGCCCTCCTCCTCAGGACACTGGTCATTTCTTAGTGTTTTGTAATTTGGGATGGAATCTCTACTGGATCATTGCCAACAGTCCACTCTGCGAGAACTGCCCCTCCCCGTGCTCTGGCTTCCCCCGAGGTCTTTGCAGGTGCCCCCCTCCCTCCGGCCCTTCACTCGGGGCTGGGGCGGGGGCGTTAACGGTCCCCCCGACCCACCCACCCTCCCTGCTGCACGGCGTGGGGCTCCGCCGCAGCCTGTGGGCTGGCGCTCAGGGGGCACTGCGGCCGTGAGGGGCGTGGGGGCGGGCGGAGAAGAGGCCGCAGGCGCCAGGCTCCCGGCGCTCACCGGTGGCTGTCGAAGCTCTCCAGCTGCCGCTGCACCGCGCTGCTGATGCTGGGGCGGTAGCGGCGGTTCAGCCAGCTGCCCACCACACCCAGGCCGTAGTGCCGCCTCTGCCGGCCGAAGGCAAAGTGCTTCACCTCGGAGGCGATGCGCCTGCCGCGCTTGGCCGCCGGCGGGGGGCTGCGGCCGTACTCCCTCCTGCCGAGACGCGGCCCTCAGCCCGGTGCCCGCCCGGCACAGCCCGGAGGCACCCGTGGTCTAGGGACCCCCCCCGCAACAAGACCCCTGGGCTCCGGGAGCCCTCTCCCGCCCTGCCACCCCTCCTCCAGCCGGAGGGAGGCCCAGGACTCACAGAGGCACCGGCACCCCGTCGGGGGAGACGGGGGAGGCCGAGCGGGGCACAGCCCGGAAGCAGCTGGCGGAGAGCGGGGGAGACTCAAACACGTCGTCGGGCATGGAGCTCATTTCTTCCTGGGGGATGGGGGGGCGCGGACACGGGGAGGCAGCGTGAGCACCCTGCTCCCAGGCCTGCCCCACCGCTCGCTGCGAGGGAGGTGGGAGGTGCATGTGCTGGCCTCGGCCGTGACTTTTCTGGGGGACATCCTGCCCCACCCCAGGTCCTCCCTCGACAGAAACACGGGGACCTAGGAGCACCCCAAGGTGGCACCTCCATCCCCGCAGTGGGCTGTTGGGTCCCTCAGGCGCTCCTGGCAGGGGATGGTCAGGGCCAGGTCACCCTCCCAGCTGCCAGGCCGCCCTGCCCCTGCCCCGCGCCCTGCGCTTGCCTTACTAAAAAACGAGGAGTCAAACGTGTCCGCCCCGTCGACGGCGTCCTCCTCCAGGAAGCTGGGGTAGGCGAAGCTGCGCTTGACCGCCCGGCACCGCGGGGCAGCGTCCAGCACCGGGCGCCCCTGTGTGCGGCAGAGGCCCCGCATCAGCCCGGGGACAATGCCCGGAGGTGCCATCTGCCCGGAGCACCGGGGCCGGGAACACGGCTCCGGCCTCACAGCCCGGATGCGTCACCCCCCCACGCTGCTTGTCTGCTCTCTGGCCACCTCCTGCCCTCTGCCCGGCAGCTGACCACCACCCCCCTCACTCCCCTTCACTCCCGAGCCTCTGCCATCTCCCCGAGCCTGGCTCCTCGGCTGGGCATGTAGGCCTGCCCTCTTGTTGACCCATCTGCTGCCACTGTCGCTAAAACCACGGGGATCCCCGCGCGGCCCCCCAAAGGCCACGCCCCCTCCCGCCTCTGGGCCTGGCACGGGCCTTTCCCTCTGCTGAGAACGCTGTTCCCTGCCTGGCTCTCCTGGCAAACTTTCCTTATTGTTCCAGGTTCGGCCCGGGTGCTTCCCTGACACCAGCCCTTCTCTGGGCAGGCCCCTGCTACCACCCGGACGGTGCCCTCACCGGGCTGGCCCTGAGCCCGCTCACCGCCCTCTGCGGCCCCCTGGCCCAGCACCGTCAACGGGCTCAGGGAGCGTGGAGATGAGGGTGACTGCACGTTTCACTTCCTGCTTCCCAGCCCGTTGGTGCAGAACCAGCTTCCCAAGCCAGGAGGACGGAGGGCTCCGGAGGGAATTGGGGGCTAGGACTGGGCCTCCTCTGCCCAGGGGTCCCAGGCACCCGCTGCCCTGGCACAGAGGCCCGAGGTGGGCCCTGGGGGCTGCCGTGGGGAGCGGGGGCAGGGGCGGGCGGCCGCACCTTGAGGAGGGCAGAGGCAGCTTGAAAACTCATGTGGGCCACCGACATCCTCTTCCGGCGGGGCAGGTGGCCGGAGCGGACGCTGGTGAAGGAGGCGAGGGACAGGACGCCGGGGGTCAGCGGCGGGTGAGGGGCGTGGGGCCGGTCCACCTCGTCCGGGTGGCGGAAGGCCCGGCCCCGGGCCAGCGGGTCCACGATCTGCAGGGGAGGGAGGCGGTGAGCGGGCGGCCGGGCCCCGGCGCCGCGCCCGCCGCCCCGCGCCCGCCGCGGCCCACCTTGGGCATCTTGCAGGGCCTGGGGGACTCGGTGTCCGGGAAGGAGGGCCCGTCCTGGCTGGGGAGCTCCAGGTCGCGCTGGCAGGAGGCCTTGAGGCGGCCGTAGCGCACGCTGCAGTGGTGCAGGCTGCGGCGCTGCCAGTGCTGCCGCGCCAGCTCCCAGTCGCCGCTGACGCCGAACCACTGCGCCGTGCCCCTGCGGACGGAGGGGCGTGAGGCTCCGGGCACGGGGACGAGGCGCGCACGTGTGGAGGGAGGGGTGAGAGAGCTGACGGGGCCCGCGGGTGCACAGGGGGAGCGATGTCAGAGTCGGTGGCACACGCGTGCAGGCAGCTGTGACAAGAGCTGACCGTGCACGCGTGTGAGGGCTGACGAGTGGTGACAGGTCATGTGCATGTGCAGGGTGGGATGAGAGCTGACCATGCACATGTGCACAGGAGAAGCGATGGCACCCATGTGTATGCAGAGGGTGACAGGCATGTGTGTAAGGAGTGATGACAGGCGACCGTGCATGTGTGCAGGGGGTGACAGGGCACATGTATGCAGCGGCAGGGGCAGGTCAGCTCCCCCTTGAGCCCCTGGTTCGGTCCCCGTGGCTGCACTGGCATGAGGAGCCGGGCTGGGCCCCTCGGATCCACCCGGGCCTATGCGAGGCACATGCCCCCGCACCCCAGCTCCCCCCCTGCAACACGGTGTTCGACTCCCGGCCCGCCCTGCAGGGAGAGGCACTCGCTAAGGCCAGCTGGGCCTCTGGAGGGGACGGGGGGGGGGGGAGGGGGGGTGCGGATGGGCCTGGTCCTCGCCGGCGCTCACTTGCGGATGCTCTGGGACAGCGAGGCCTGGCGGCGGAAGCCGGGGCGCTTCTCGGACGCCTCCTGCCAGCGTCCGCGGGGCTCCTGCAGGCTGACGCTCTTCAGGTAGGTGGGGTTCCGGGGCCTCTGCAGGGGGCAGGGGCGGCACAGGGTGGGCGTGGGCACGTGTGGAGCCCGGCTCTCATCCCAGGGCTAAACATCGCCAGTTCCTAACGTTTCCCAGAAACCCCATCGGTGCCCCCCCTCAGCCACGGCGGGCATCGGCCTGCCCTGCGTGCTGGAGGGCACCCGTGGGTGAGCGGGCGGCACCGACACAGCCCCTTTGTGCCCAGGCTGCGGGCGCCCACGCGGGGCCCAGCCTGTTCAATGGGGTCTTTGTGGACGGGGGCCGGCTGCTGGAAACACCGATTCATTCCGTTCTCTCGAGGAGCAGGCGCGGAGGTCAGGCTGCTGGGCTGGGACACACGTGCCCTGCACCCCAGTCCCCCCAGACAGCCCACGCCCCTTCCCCCCCAAGGGCCGGCGCGGAGCTGGAATCAGCCAGGCCGGTGGGACCGCGCGCCTGTCCTGGGGCAGCAGCTCCCATTTCTCGGGGGGCGCTGAGTGCAGGGCCCACCGAGGGGCACAGGCCTGTCGGGGCCACACAGGCAGCTGCTGGGGAGGGGTCCCGTGGGCGGTCCCTTGGGGCCCCCTCACCTGGGGCAGCATGCTGGCGTGCTCGTCGGGGGCGGCGGCCTCGGGCGGCGGGATGGTGATGGACAGGTTGGGCGGCTTCCGGCTCTGCAGGCGGCTGCCGGACACCGAGGAGACGCGCTCGCCATTCTTGTCTGCGGAGGCCATGGCGGCGGTGGGCGGGGGGCTGGAAAGGAGACGGGGAGGGCACACGGTGTGTGAGAGCCAGAGGGGACGTGGAAACCCAGGTGCCAGGGTGGACCTGCCAGAAACTGGTTCTAACCTAACCGGATACTGAGGTCCCGGGCAGAGACGGAACCGGCTGAGGGGGAAGGCAGGAAGGTCTATGTCTGCCCGCCGGCTTGCCTCAGGGGTGGAGCATCGACTTACGAACCCAGAGGTCACGGTTCGATTCCTGGTCAGGGCACAGGCCCGGGTTGCAGGCTCGATCCCAAGTCAGGGCGTGCAGGAGGCAGGTGATCAATGACTCTCATCATGGATGTCTCTCTCTCCCTCCCCCTCTCCCTCCCTCTCTGAAATCAACACAAATGTTTTTTTTCAAAGGTCTATTTCTGTCCCCCTTCATTTGCATTCCAGACCAGTAGCGCCTGGGAAGTCCCCGACTCCCCACCTCCGTCCAATTCTGGGCTCTGCTCAGGAGGGACCACAGGCAGGGGTGCAAGGCATAGGGCAGAGCAGCAGAACGTGCCAGTCCGCAGGCCGACACTCAACCGGTGCTGGCTCCTGCTTCTCTCAGGCCCCAGCAGACTCGGGCGTCCTTTCTCCACCAGAATCCCGAGCCCAGGCCCCGGCAGCCCAGGCAGGGAGGTCAAGGGCAGGCGGCTCCTCAGGCCGCAGCCTGTGGCAATGCCGCTCGGAGCCCCTCTGGGGACAGCTCCCGGCCCGGCCTCCTCCGGGCCCTGGGCCCCGGGCGGAGAGGGGCCTGGGAGCTGCCCGGGGGCCCGGGCACCAGGAAGGCAGGCGGGCAGCGGAGGAAGGCGGGGTGAGGGGGCTGCCAGGCCCGCACTCTGGTCAGGACACCAACAGGCAGGATCCTTCCGGAACTCGGAGCGACCACACCCCGCCGGGCACAGCCGGCCCCCAGCTCCCACCTCCTACCTGCCGCCCCGCACCTGGCCCGCCAGGCTCCGCCTCCTGCCTGGCTCACGCCTACCAGCTGCTTTTTTCTTCTTTTTTTATAATATATTTTATTGGTTTTTTACAGAGAGGAAGGGAGAGAGATAGAGTTAGCAACATCGATGGATGTGCCTGCAACCAAGGTCCATGTCCTTGACCGGAATGGAGCCTGGGACCCTTCAGTCCACAGGCTGACACTCTATCCACTGAGCCACACCGGCCAGGGCTACCAACTGCTTTAAGGAAAGTGAAATGTCACTTCCTCCAGGAGGCCTTCCCTGCCACCACCAGACAGAACCACTCGCTTCTCACAGGCTCCCTCAGCACCCGCAGGTCTGCCGACACGTGAGTGTGCCCGCGGTCCAGGCGGCACGGCCTGGCACACAGTCAGCCCGAGAGCAGGTGCGAGGGGCACGCGTGGTGGCAGGCGGTCAGGCCCTGCTCCTCGGGAAGCTCCCCTGGGTGCCTGGGTCCCGCCCGGCGGTGCCCGGGGCTGGGGATGGAGGATGGCGTCCCGGGATGAGTCCCCGGTGGACGGCCTGTTCCCCAGCCCGGCACAGCCCAGACTCCAGCCAGCCCTCCCATCCCAAACCATACCCCCGCCCCCCGCCCCTCCGGCTGGGACTCCTGGCCCAGGACCCGCTGTGCTGTGGCACCAGCACCCCCTAAGGGCAGGCACAGCCCGAGGCTGCAGGATGGAGAGATGGGGCTGCCTGGGTTCCCGGGGTTCTGAGAAGTGGCTGGGCCGCAGGGAGCAGAGGCGGTGGGGCCATTTTCTGGGGAGCAGTGAGGTGCCTAGGAGAGACACGTACCCATCTTCCCGGGGCAGCGCCCAGTCCTCACTGTGAGCACCCCCGCCCCCCCGGGGCCCTCCCCGCCTCAGTTTCCTTCTCCGTTCACCGAGGGAGTTGGGGAAGGCGATGGCCCCGCTCTGACCCCGGGGAAACCCACACATCGGGTTTCCGCCTGGAGGGGAGGGCGGCTCCTGAGGCCGTGTCCCTCCCAGCCCCTCCCTCAGGCCCAGGAGTGAGGGTCAGGGGTCAGGGGGCGTCACTCCCACCCTTGGGCCTGCACAGCCCATCCAGGGCGTGCAGGAGCCGGGTGCCGAGCCGGGCAGCTAAAGGGCTGGCGCTCCGGGGGCGCCCCGCCCGCCACTGTCTCCTGCGCCCCAGAAGTGCTTGCTCACCGCAGGAAATTGTGACATCCTGGGACCAGGCTTCCTCCCGGCCCAGTCACATCCGCCGCTCTCAGACCCCTGCCCGCCGCGCCCGGCCACGAGGGGGGCGGCGGGAGGCCGGAGGCTGTCCCCTGGCACAGCCGCTGCCACCTGCCCAGCTGAGCCCCGGGGTCCTCAGGAGAGGGAGGGGTTCAGGGTGGGGTCCGGCACGGGGCTGGGGTGCACAGCACTCCCATCGCCATGGGCTGAGGCATCCCACCCCGCCCCTCCCGCCCAGCAGCCGAGGCGGGAGCGCAGCCCAGGAGGAGCCGGTTTGCCCACGAAGGGCGCGGCCGGGCACTGCCAGGGACACTCTGTCCAGACACATCACCGGGCACACAGCCGCCTGGGGAGGTCCCCACAGCACCCCTGTGCGTCCTCCCCGCCCCCTCCCTGCCCCCCAGTGCCACCTGCACCCAGGAGTCTGGCTCCGGGCCCCCTCCCTCTGGCTCCACTTGCCAGCCACCAGCCCAGCCCACCGGCAGGTTCCAGAAGGCGCCCGGTCTGCCTAAAGGTGGGCGGGGCCTCCACCACCCAGGCTCCGGGGCCTTTAGGAGCCAGCAGCGGCTGGGACCCCAGGGGATGGACAGGAGGCGGGGGATGGACAGGAGGGCTCCAAGCCTCCAGCCGCCTGTGCCCACAAATGGGGAGGGAGGGGCCCCCGGACAAGGGGCAAGCAGCCCCCCAGAGAGGACAGGGCAGGCCGTCCACCTCTCGGTGAGCTGGAAGCTCGGGGCCCCCCCCGGGGTGGGGTGGGGTGGGGTGGGTAGGGGGGTGGAGTGACTTCCAGCTGCCCGGGTGGCCCCCCCGCTGACTCACAGGATGGGGGGGTGGCGAGGAAGTGGCCCGTCTCCCTGCTTCCCGGCCGCAGAAACCAACAGCTTTTCCCTCCCACAGCGCTGGGACCGGCGTTTTCAGAAAGCTGCAAAGCGAAAGAGGAAGCGGCCCCCGCCCCCCACGACGCAACCCCCAGCGAAACCCATGTAACCCCCAGCGAACCCCCTGCCTCCGCTGGCCCACCGGACCCGGAAGGAGCAGCCCCCCCCGCCCCCCGCAAGGCCGTCACCCAGCCTGGTGTCCCCACGGCCCCCTGCCCCCACCCTGCACAGCCACAGCCCCCTGCCCCCCGCCCCGCACAGCCTCAGCCCCCTGCCCCCCGCCCTGCACAGCCTCAGCCCCCTGCCCCCCCGCCCTGCACAGCCTCAGCCCCCTGCCCCCCGCCCTGCACAGCCTCAGCCCCCTGCCCCCCGCCCCGCACAGCCACAGCCCCCCGGCCCCCCGCCCCGCACAGCCACAGGCCCCCTGCCCCCCGCCCCGCACAGCCACAGCCCCCCGGCCCCCCGCCCTGCACAGCCTCAGCCCCCCTGCCCCCCGCCCCGCACAGCCACAGCCCCCTGCCCCCCGCCCTGCACAGCCTCAGCCCCCCTGCCCCCCGCCCCGCACAGCCTCAGCCCCCCGCCCCCCGCCCTGCACAGCCTCAGCCCCCTGCCCCCCGCCCTGCACAGCCTCAGCCCCCTGCCCCCCGCCCTGCACAGCCACAGCCCCCTGCCCCCCACCCCGCAGCCACAGCCCCCTGCCCCCCGCCCTGCACAGCCACAGCCCCCCTGCCCCCCGCCCTGCCCCGCCCTGGCCGGGGGAACGGGACAGGGTTTGGGGAGAGAACGGGAAGGAAAGAAACTGTCCCAGGTGGTGGCTGAAACCCAATCACCCAAGCCAGTGCCAGGCAGGGAGCAAAGGGACTCCCTTTCCGGCAAGCACCCCCTTCCCCAGGGGTGCCAGCAGCACGCGCACACACACCCCAGCTCGGAAGAACCGCCTGGAGGGGCGGGCTTCCCCCGTCAGAGCCAGGCTCTGGGCACCCCGTGACCCAGTTAGAGTGGCTGGGGTGGCGTGGCCGACCACAGACAGGGGAAGCGGCGCTGGGTTCCAGGTGCCGCCACGGGCAGAGTGTGAGTGTGTGGGGGTGGGGAGGGGGCTGCCACGTCTAGAGCAGAGGGACCCCAGGGCGCTCTGCACCACCATCGGCTCTCTCAGGATCACCCCCAGCTGTGGGCTGGCAGGGTGAATGCCCATCCTCTGGGCTCCTGGGGTCCAGGAAGCTGGCTGAGCTGGGAGCACCCACGTCCTAAGATGCAGCTGCCGGGAACGTGCGGGGCGGGCACCCCTGGAGGTGAGAGTGCACGGGGCTCCCTAAGCAGACACAGTGCTGGGCCCACCATGGTGCCCACCCAGATGCCCCTGTGGGACTCTGCACCCCCTGACACCCAGGTGTGACCAGGCTGTTCCAGCTCAGTGCCCAGCACGGGGCTGTCCATGTTTGCCCACCTCCTCCCCGTGGCCCGGCTCCAGATGGTGAAAACTGTCCAAACGGCAGACAGTCTTCGGCTCAGCCCCAAATGCTGTGTGATCTTGAGCAGGCCACTGGACGTCTCTGAGCCTCAGTTTGTGTGTGCTTACGATGCTGAGCACCCTCCCCCGAGTCTGAACTCCGGGGCCCTGGTCACCATGAGCTAGAGAGGTGAGCACCTGGGCCAGGGCACTGGGCCAGAAGCCGGGCTCCGAGCTGCCCTGGGCCCTGCCCTGCATCACACTCAGGACAGGGCGCCCGTGCCCCTCAGCAGGGCACACACTTTCCAGCTCGTAAACAGCATTAAAGAGCTAATAAACCCAGAGCCAACGACCCGCCTTCCCAGAGCGCTGCCGGGGCTGACTGGTTCCCTGGGAGAGGCGGGCCACAGCCCCTGGGCCGCTGGGACAGGCCCATCCAGGCCTCTCACACCAGGGGGGCTTCAAAACCTACTTCCTCATCACTGCCCCTCCTTCCTTGGGGGCAGCATGGGTTCTCTCTTTGAGGAATGAGGGCTGGGGGCGGGGCTCAAACCCCGCCTTGACCACCTACTGTGCTAGGAAACTCTGGGTGAGTTACCCTCTCTGAGCCTCAGTTTTCTCTGCTGTGAAATGGGATGATGTCCCGGCCCAGGAACACCGTGGAGATGACATGAGATCATGAATGTACAGCGCCCGGGACCCTGTGGGCGGCCAGTGATGGGGATTCTGGCTGACCTCATCACTCACGTGGTCTCTATATCGGAGCCAAGAGCTTCTACTGGACGGGTGGGGAAACTGAGGCTCAGAGAGGTTAAGTCACCTGTCCGAGGCCCCACAGTGAGGAGGTGGTGGGGCTGTGACGCCCCCACATTGTGCAGCCTCCTGGCACCCAAGAACTGGTGAGACGGCATGGCCAACGCACAGGCGGGCGGAGAGGGACTGAGCAGCCCAGGCTGGGAGTTCCAGGAGCCGGGCCTGAGTCTGAGCCACTCCCACCCTCCAGCAGCAGTGACATCACCACGCCCTCTCCGGGTACAGGGCCCTCATCCTCTCACCGTCCCATCTCCTCGTCTCCCTCGCTGGACGGTCTGACCTTGGCTCCGAGTCCCGCTCCAGCAGATCCCCCACCTGCGCTCCCAGGCCTCCCAGGGGAGAGGCACCCGCCAGGGAAAAGGGGTTCCTGGCCGGGCCGGGCCCAGGCCACCTAAGGGTGCTCTGGGCGTGGGCGCCGGGGCACAGGTGAAGCAGAGAAAACCACGGTGTGGGCAGCTGGCCCTGCGCTGGGACCGAAGCAGAGCCGAGCGTGTCCGCCTCCATGACATCCTCCCCCCAACCATGACACACAGGCTGGCAGGCGGGGGAACCCCGGGCGGGTGGCAGTTCACGCCTGGCCCAGATCGAAACCCATCCTCGGGGCCCTTGCCCTACACGGCGCCACCGCCCGCCCGCCCACCCAGGCCGGCCGCGTCCACAGAACAGCAGCAGCACGCCGTTCCGCCCATGTCCCCAGCCAGTCCCCCAATCCACCCTCCCCACCATGAGGCACGGACTCCCTCCCCACACGCTGGTCCAGGGCGCACAGCCACCCCGAAGGGCAATCCCATCTCGTTATCTTGCCAGCTCCCGCGCCGGTTCTATGTGGTTGGGCACTGGCCCGGACCACCGCTGGAATCCTCACTGCCGCCCTCCCACGGCCTACTGCTCCCCACTGACGGCTGGGGAAACTGAGGCACCTCTTGAGTGACCCCATCCTGCTGACCCCGCTCTCCTAGACCCCTGCCCATGGCTTCCCGCCTCCCTCTAGGCCAGGATCTCGGTCTGCCCGCCCAGCTCCTACCACTTTGTGTGTGTGTGTGTGTGTGTGTGTGTGTGTGCAGAACATCCTTCCTAGAGGCAGCTTTGGAATTGCAAATGACCGGCATCTGGCTGGGACCCACATTCATTTCCTGCGTGAGGGGGTGGGGACTTGCTCCCTGTAAGTCCCTGAAGATGACAGAAAAAGTGCGTTTTTCTTCAGCCCCTCTAGCTCCCCCTGGAGCCATGTCACTTCCGGGGCCGTCTGGGAAGCCCTCGGTTTCCCTAACACGGGCAGGCAGGCCCCTCCTCCTGGCCTGTGTCCACAGGTCACCGGCCAGGTCACCAGCCAGGTCACCAGGCCAGGTCAGCCTGCGCTGTGTGTGTGTGTGTGTGTGTGTGTGTGTCCCGCCTGGCTCAGCAGGACGGGAAACTGGGACCAGCGAGTGAGCTCACACTGGAAATCCCCCTGGGGGGCCGGGACACACGGACGCTGGGACCACACGGACAGAGGCCTGCTCCAAAGTGGGAGGCACAGGGACCACGGGGCTGTGCTGGGCGGAGAGGCCTCCGGGAGGACCTCTCCCCTGAGGGTCTGGGGTGGGGCTGCCTCCTGTCACTGCCGCTCATCCTCCGGGAACACCGGGCCACCTGGAAGCGAGCAGGTCTGTGCACGCTCAGACACACCCGCCTTCTTCCTGCTCCGTCCGCAGGCTGGTCTGGTCCAGGCCCAGTTTGCCCAGCAGGTGGCCACAGGTACAGCACCGCTACTGCCCCAGAGCCAGACTCGGACCCGGGGCCTCGGCAACGGGTTTGGGGGCGGCGCGTCCCTCCTCTTGGAGGAGAGTCCAGTCCCAGCCTGGGCAGAGGGTGTAACGCCAGGCAGAGCTGCTGCTCAGAATGAGTCTGGCTACGGCCTGAGGCACGGAGTGAGGACCGGGCCTGGGAAAGGGCATGGGGTCCGGGGTGCACCCCACCGCCTTCTTCCCCGATGCGGACTGAGCGCTGCCTGGGCCCCACCCCAGAGGCACACGACAGAGGATGGGAGCCTACTCCAGCCTCTTAAACGACCATAAATAAAAAAATAAAATTAAAAGGCCAAACACCACCACCGCCAGCAGCATCATAAAAAAACTCCACAAAAAACGCCAAAGTCAAGCCAGAAACTGCCACCTGCTCTCTCACCCCACCAGGGCTCCAGGGTCCGGGAGTGAACAAGAGGCCACGGATACTGCAGGAAGTGGGAGGAGGGCAGAGAGGGCAGTGAGGGCGGTGGGGTGGCCGGGCACCTGGGCACAGGCAACTGCTTCACCCGTCCTGCCCTGGGAAGGCCACCTGCCCCGAGCCCCACCCCCGTCACCCCTGCCTGCGGCCGATGTCCGCCTCCTCCCCCCCTGCTCCACTGACAGGCACCACGAGTGGGGAGGGGCTGGCTCTCCCACCCTGGGCCTCTATCTAACCGTTACACTGGAACATTCTATGGCTGGAGGGAAGCAGCCTGGGGAGCCACGAGGAACGAGGAGCCCTGATATACCCTTGGGTGCCCCTTTCCCGGCGTAAATGCCGGAAGAGTGAGGTGTGAGCTCAGGAGGGTAAATACCAGCAGGTCAAAGGCATTGGGCGTCCATGCCCGCGTCAGCAGCCCAGCTCCGGGAAGATCTGCCAAAGGAGCTCGGACCCGAGCTGTCCCGGGGGTGGACGCTTCAGGCCAGTCTCCTGGCCCTGGTCTCACCTCCTCCCTCCCCACAGCACCCACACCTACTTCCTGCAGGGCCCATGGTTGGAGCAGGAAGAGGCAGCCTCTTGCTAGGGGAACCACGGCCCTCCTACCCCCCTCTCATTTAGGGTTATTCCAAGTTCTTCCCCAGACCCCTCAGGCAGGAAGGGGGAGACCGTGAGAAGCACAGGCACACCTCGCAAGCAACGCGGATTGTTCCAGAACACGGCACTACAGTGAGCTGTGATCTTTTTGCTGGTGGAGGGTCTTGGCTTCAATTTGTAAAAACACACACACACACACACACACACACACACACAAACCCAAAACCACACACACCTGCGGGGCGCAATAAAGCGAGTCGCCATAGAACGAGGCATGCCTGTCGCTGGGTTTCCCAACCTGGCACAGCACCACGGCCGTTCCGAGTGGGATGATTCCTCATCTGGGGGTGTAGGGTGTTCGGCTGCACCCCTGGCCTCTACCCACTAGATGTCAAACAGCAAAGACACTCCCCCTCCCCATGAGCTGTGCCGACCAAAACGGCTGTCAGAAATTGCCAGCTGTGCCCCTGGCTGGTGACATGTCTGAGAGCCACAGGCTTCCCTTTCCACTTGGCCCTGTCCCGCCCAGAGAGGGACAGAAACATCGCACAGACGCTGGGCTCAGGCTTTTACCAGCAAATGTCCCACATGGGGCCCTAAATCTATAATAGCTTAGCCATCGGGGAAACGGCAGCCGTCCATGGCGGGTCCCTCCCCCAAGCCTCACCTTCCCAGGCACCCCCCCTCCACCTGCTGCCCTCGTCCTTCACCGGGCAGGCAGGGCTGAGGCCTGGCGCCCCCTCCGCCCTGGGGTGGGGCACCTATGCCCCCAAGGGATGTGCTCCCCTCTGGGCTAACCCTAAACCAGGGGACCAGCCTGTCCAAGGCCCTCAGCCCAGAAGCCAAAACCCCCGCGCCCAGTTTCCGAGCTCCGGTGCCGCCTGGCAGAGCGAGCCCACCTCCCACACCCGCCCGCACCTCGGCGCCCGCCGCTCGCCCCGAGGGCGGGGCGGGAGGATCTGGGTCGAAGGCGGGAGCGCGCGGTGCTGCCCCGGGGCGGTCCCTCCTCTCCCACCCCGGGCTTCAAACTTCTGCCCCGTCTTCTCGCCCCCGCATCAGGTGACCCTTGGCCCGGGGACCCCTTCGGCTTCTGGTCCGAGCTGAGCCCCAGGGGCTCGCACACCCGGTCCCGCAGCCCAGTCCGAGTCCGGCGCCGACCTCTGGCCCACGTGGGGCCCGAGCGCTCCGCAGGGCGCGCACCCTCGCCAACCGCGCGCCGCCGCCCCAGGGCGGGCTCGGGCGCCACACCGCGGCCCCTCCCGGCGCCTGAGGACCGCGGCCGGGCCCGGTCCCACCTGCTGCCGGTGCTCACCTCCCAGCGGCCCCGCTTCTCCGGACGCCGGCCGCGCCGCGCCGCCGAGCAGCTGGGCCGCGGCTTCTGGGGGCGGGGCCCCGGCGCCCCGCCTCTTCCCTACCTGCGCGGGCGGGGGCGGGGCCAGGGCGGGGCCTAGCTAATGGGCGGGGCCTTGGCTGTGGGGCGGGGCCCTGGGACTGGAGGCGGGGCCTGGGCGTCAGGGCAGGGCCTAGATAGTGGGCGGGGCCATGTCGTGGGCAGGGCCCTGGGACTGGGGGCGGGGCGTAGGTAGCGGGGCGGGGCCTTGGTGATGGGACCTAACTAGAGGGGCGGGGCCTAGCTCGTGGGGGCGGGCCCGCCTGCCCTCGCCACGCCCCGGTGTCCTCTGCGGCTCGGTGCGCTGCCCAGCGGGGTCCCGGCCCGGCGCCTTCCGGGCGTTGTCCTGTCCTCGTCACCGTATAAAGCGCGTCGTCTGGGCCCGAACGGCCACCCTCACATCACCCCCAGGAAAGCCCGCCCCAATAACAGCCACCTCCGTTCCCCTCCGTCCAGGGCCCCATTCTCAGGCCACATGGGCCTGCTTCCTGGAACCCTTTAGCCCTCGCCTGTCCTTGAACCCCCAAATCCTGCTCCCGCCTCCGGACGCTTCTCTGACCTCAGCTCCGTGACGGCGAACGCGCCTCCCCCGCACCCCCCGGGGCGAAGGCCGGGTCTTGCTCAACTTCCCCCGCCCCCGCCGCGCGCGCTCTGAGCAGAGACAGCTGCGCTGAGTGCCGGCCCGGACCGCGCCGGGTGCTGTGGACGGCGGGGCATGGGGGTGGGGGATGGGGGTTTGAGGTTTGGGGGGATGGACCGGAGCTGGAGAAGTAGTAGAAATAAGCATTAGGCAGAACCGCGTAAAACCTACGTTGCCTCTGGGCGGAAGACACAGAACCTTCCATGGGGCATGGAGGCAGAGATCTGGGGGGCAGGGGTGGTGGGGAGGGGGGTGGCTCCCTCAGAGCCACTTCCTAATTTGCAGAGGAGCGAGGCCTGCCCGGCCTTCTCACGTGGTGGGTGATGGGGACGCAGTGGAAACCACCTGTGAAACTGTTGTTAGTTAACGGGGGGCCCCGAGTTCAGATCCCACCGCGGCCACTTACCACCCGCGTGGCCTTGGGCAGGGGCTGGCTTCCTGCTGGGTGAGGTGAGGGTAGCAATGGGCCTGGCCTCTGGAGGGAGCCCCGGAAGGGCACCCTGTGAGCAGCTGCAGTGGCTACCATTGCTGTTATTGTTAGTACTATTATCACCTGCTTCCGCCAGGAAACTCTTTGCTGCAAGCGATCCCCTAGCCCTGTTGCTCCTGGCCGGAGCGGGGTCTGGGGGGTATTGCTCTTCTCTCCCTCTCCCTCACCCCCCCACCGCACGCCCCCTACAAGGGACTGAACCTGCAACCCAGGCACGTATGTGCCCTCGACCGGAATCAAACCTGTGACTCTTCAGTCCGCAGGCCGACATTCTGTTCACTGAACCAAACCTACTAGGGCTGAACTTCGTTTGGAATGGGCCCAGAGGTGTAGGGAGATCTTGACGGGTAGGGTGAGGAGGGGGCTGTGGGTGGGAAGAAAAGAACAGACTCGGGAGCCAGGAACGCTGGTTATGGGAAGGCAAGTTCTGGGCCGGGCTTGGCGCCTCCCAGGATGTGTGTGGGAGGAGGGTGGCCCGACAAGCCTGGGAGGCAGGTGGTTGTGCTGAGGCCGAGCTGGGCTATGCGTTCAGGTGTTCCTGTTTTACCCAGTCAGCAAGGGGGTTTCCGGCCGGGAAATCGCCCCTATATTTTCCTTTTGTGCCACCCTCTTTGCAAAGGGCTTCCTCAGACCTGGTTACACGTTTTAATCTTTTTAATATATATATATTTATTTCATTGATTCTTTACAGAGAGGAAGAGATAGGGATAGTTAGAAACATCGATGGGAGAGAAACATCGATCAGCTGCCTCTGCATGCCCCCCACTGGGGATGTGCCCACAACCAAGGTACATGCCCTTGACCAGGATCGAACCTGGGATCTTCCAGTCCGCAGGCCGACGCTCTAGCCACTGAGCCAAACCAGTTAGGGCTACACGCTTTAATCTTTTTTTAAAAAAAGTTTTTCCGTTTTTATTAAGGTATTAAGTTGGTCCGAAGGTTGTGGGTTATTGTTAGGCTGATTAACATTTTTTTATTAAGGTATCATATGTGTACATATCTTACTGTTGCCCCCTCCCACTCCCATACATGCCCTCACCCCCCCAGTGTTTTGCGTCCATTGGTTATGCTTATATGCCTGCATACAAGTCCTTCGGTTGATCTCTAATCTCCCCCACCTCTCCCTACCCTTCCGCTGCAATTTGACTACAGGTTTTAATCTTGGCGGCAATTTCCCCGTTAGGCAGGGCCGGCCTCGCAGACAAGGGAACGAGGGAAGGGGGGGGGGGGGCGTTGGGGCCGGAAGACCAGGCCCTCGGAGCTTTAACGTCAGAAGCCTTTGTCCTTGGTCCGCACCGCCTGTGGGAAGGCAGGGAGGCCAGTTCCCCACCCCACCCTGCGATCCCGAGGCCCCTCGTGACCTTAAGAACAAGATGAGACAGCGTGACCCTCCGGAGAACAGGGAAAAGGGAACTTGAAAACATAAGTTGGAAAAAAAAAAAAAAGGAAAAAAAAGGAAAGGGGGTGGGGCACTTGGACAACATAACCTTGAAATATTAGGGGTCGCGCTGTCAGCGGAGATGTGAGAATTCTAGAGCATGTAACAGCATTGCACACGTGAAGGGTGCTGATGTTCTTGTCGGGGTTCAGAGAGGTTCAGGGCTGTGCCTGAGGCCACGCTCTTCCCAGCCGTGAGGGACCGCAGTTTCAGAAGTGTGGGCCTGGCTCTGCTTAGGACACCCCCGGTTTGGGAGAAGGGGGGCACTGAGGAGGCTACTTTTAAGGTCCGGGGAATGAGACACGGGAGTGCGGGGGGAGGGGGGGGAGCAGAGTGGAGGAAGGCATCCTTGTCTTTCAAATTTGGCCAACAGAAGCCCCAGATGTCCTCTCCATCCGCGCTCCAAGTGTGCCGCCCCTCCCTCTCCGGCTCAGGGGCAAAGTCAGGGGAGATTCTGCTGGAGAGGTGGGGGGGGGGGGGGGAAGGGAACAAACATCCTGAGTGTGTGTGGTGGGAGCGGAGGGGGGGTCAGCAGCTGCTATGGATGATGCGTCGTCACCACCTAGTGGCTGTAAGGGGTACTGCACCAGGGAAGCCTCCCCGCCCCAACAGAAGCCCAATTCCTCTTGCTCCCTCTGCCCTCTTCCCCACCAGAAACCCTGGCGGCTCCGCCTCCGGCTCCAGGTAAGGGGGTTCAAGGGGGCTCGTGATCTTGAGGTGAGATGTCAAAGCCTATGCGACTCTTGTCCCTGCTGTCCTTGCTGTCCGGCCTGCTCTCAGAGGGGCACCCTGGCACCGCTGTGTGGGTGCTCATTGCTCCGAGGCCCCGGCCCCTGGGAACTGCCCGCCGCCCCAGGGAAACCCAGGGCCCAGGCTGCTGTGCTCACCCCCTGGGGCTCGGGAGACGCTTCTCAGCTTCGTCTTCTCCTGTGCCGCCCCCGCCCCCACCGTGGCCTTGCAGCCCTGGCCCCCCTCCCCGCAGCGGCTCCTCACACGCGGGCTGTTCTCCACCCTTTATCAGCCTTCCTCCGGGTCACCCTAGTCCGGCCAGGGCTTGGCCACTCCGCCTGGCCACTGGGAACAGACGTGGAATGTTCTTCCCGAGCCCATGCCACCTCCCACTTCCCAGCGGCTCAGCCTGCAGACCCCAGAGCACTGCTGCTGCTGCTGCTGCTGCTGCTGCGTCTCCCTCCTCCCCCCGTCACCCCCCCAGTGCCCTCCCTCACCCCCTCCCGGGGCCCGAGGCCTGGTGGCAAACACTCAGGGATACCCAGCTCACCACGAAGGAGCTGTTTGACCTGTGACCTTAGGCAGTTTACCTAGGCCTCCCTAGAAAGACACCTCCCCCAGCCCCACCCAGAAGCCATAGCAAAAGATCAACAGGTTTGAAGACATGAAAGCTGTAACGTCTGTGCCAAAAAGACGCCCAGGACAACGCTTAGCAAAGCTCCAGGGAGCGCCGTCCAAGGGTCGATACCGAGAAACTGAAAAAAAGGGTCCTACTTTAGTCACCTTTAAAACGAGGAGCCTGCCTGGCCAGCGCAGCCCGGCTGGTCGGCGTGCCGTCCTGTGCACCAAAAGGTTGAGGCTTCGGTTCCTGGTCCCTGGTTCCTGGTCAGGGCACATACTCAGGTTGTGGGTTCGATCCCGGGCTGGTGCATGCGGGAATCAACCAGTCCAAGTTTCACTCTCACGTTGATGTTTCTCTCTCCCTCTCCCTTTCTCTCTCTCTCCCTCTCTCTCTCTCTCTCTCTCTCTCTCTCTCTCTCTTTAAAGTATGTCCTTGGGTGAGGATAAAGGAAAAAATTACAAAACAATCTAAGGGAAAATTGGATAAAGACTAAGAACAAACAGTTCACAGAAAGATAAGTAAAAACAGGAGATGGTGAGTCTGAAAACACACAGGCGTTAGGAGAAGGCCCTGGAACCCGGAACCCCTGGCCGGGAGGGGCTGAGGCCCAGGGCTCCCTGGAGGAGCGGCTGGCTCCGGGTCCGGGCAGCCAGGGCTGCTCGGCGGAGGCGGAGAGCAGGGAGGCCGTGACAGATGAATGGAGTCGTGTCAGAAAGACACAGGGACCAGCTGGGAAGCCTCCCGCTGGCCAAACGGAACAATTTGAGCATCAGAAAGAAAAACGAGCGCAGGTCACGGAAAAGGCCCGTGTTGCTCAGGACACCCAGAGAAACCCTGGGGAACCCGGAGCCACTCATTAAAGCAGACCTTCCTTTGAAAAGTGGTGAATAAAGGGGAGTCTGCAGCATCGATCCTGCCTTTCCCGTGGGAAATGCCTTTCCAGGGAACTCCGTGGCTCTACTTGGGCCTAAGGCCTCGAGCTCCCGGAACCCAATCCTTAACCTGGTGCACAGGACGGTGCTCCAACCACTGGGCCACACCGGCCAGGGCTGTTTTGTAATTTTTAAAATATATATATTTATTGATTTCAGAGAGGAAGGGAGAGGGAGAGAGAGATAGAAACGTCCGTGATGAGAGAGAATCACCATGCCCGCTACTAAGGATGGAGCCTGCAACCCTGGCATGAGCCGTGACCTCCTGGTTCATAGGTCGATGCCCCAACCACTGAGCCACACCGGCCAGGCTGTTCTGTAACTTGAAGTTCGTTTGTGGGACCCCCTTTTCAGTTTCTAGCGGTTGACCTTGGGTTGCATTTGCTCCTCTGCTTTACAGAACAGGCACGCTGTGTCAGTGACGGCTGCCAGCGAGTCGCCCCCACACTTGGCTGCTTGGAACAGGCGGTTGTTTATTACCTCAGTCTCTGTGGGTCAGGGATCCCGCGGGGCTCGGCGGCGTCCATCAGCGAGGTGTTGGCTGGGCCTGTGGATGGTTATCTCAAGGCCCAGTCGGGGGAGGGCCCACTCCAAGTTCATTGGGAGGTTCAATTCCCTGCTGACTGTTGTCCAGAGGCAGGGCTCGCATCGGGGCTGGGACCTGAGAGCAGCATGGGGCTCTGCCATTTGTTTGATACCGTGTGTGTGTGTGTGTGTGTGTGTGTGTTTGTGTGGATATGTGCTATAATTGAGTTCAGAGATGAAGGGAGAGGGAGAGAAAGATAGAAACATCAATGATGAAAGAGAACCGTTGATTGGCTGCCTCCTGCATGCCGCCTAGTGGGGATCCAGCCCGCAACCCAGGTGTGTGTCCTTGATGGGAATTGAACCCGGGACCCTTCAGTCTGCAGGCTAATGCTCTATCCACTGAGCCAAACCAGCTAGGGCTGTTTAGTACTTTTTAAAAAATTGATTTTTTCTTTTTTAAAAAAATATATTTTATTGATTTCTTACAGAGAGGAAGGGAGAGAGATAGCTAGAAACATCAATGAGAGAGAAACATCCATCAGCTGCCTCTTACACGCCCCCCCCCCCCCACCCACACACACCACCACCACTGGTACATGCCCTTGACCAGAATTGAACCTGGGACTCTTCAGTCTGCAGGCAGATGCTCTATCCACTGAGCCAAACCGGTTAGGGCCTTTTTTTTTCTTAATATATTTTTATTGGTTTCAGAGAGGAAGGGAGAGGGACAGAGAGAGATAGAAGCATCAATGATGGGAGAGAATCAGAGATCAGCTGCCTCCTGCACACCCCTGCACTGCGGATCGAGCCCACAACGCAAACATGTGCCCTGCCGGGGAATGGAACCCTGATCTCCTGGGTCATAGGTCAAGGCTTAACCACTGAGCCATCGGGCCGGGCTCCCCCTGGGCTCTTCATCTCCCCCTCCCCCCGCCCCCAGCTGATGTGGGACCCACCGGGGCCTGCCTTCAGCACGAACCCTGCCGGTCGGTTTGGGCTGAACTCCCTCCCTCACGCCAGGTGTTTCCTCTCAGTAACCTCCCCTCCAAACCGCCACCGCCAACCCCCTTCCATCCAGCACCTCAGCTGCCTCAGTCCGCCTGCCCACGCTGCCTTCTGCGCTGGCCGGCTCTAGGTTCTATGCTGAGGTCTCTCTTTCCCGTTGCAATCGTCCTGAGCAAAATTGGCTTTTATGCTTTAACGGCTGTGCAGCCGTTTCTCTAGGACAAAAGTCACCCTGTCAGGCAGGCATGCTTCTCAGGAGTCACCTGCCATCCCTTTCTTAGCAAATCCTCTCCCTCTCCTCCACCCTCAGTGCGCGCACCCACTGGCCTCTCGGGGAATGACCTTGACTTCAGGAGAGGTGGTCAGCAGGCGGCTCCCGGCAGGTCCTCTGTGGCCTCAGGACACGCTCTCCCGGCAGCTTCTAGGTTCTGTCCCAGCCCCTGGCTCCGCCTCCGTCCCTTCCCGGGCTGGGCTCCTCCCTTCACCTCTGACCTCGGGGTCCAGTGCTCCAGGGCCCTGGCCTGCTCCTCCTCTCTTCCCACAGCCTCTGCCCAGGGACCCCATCCCACCCCCAGTGTAAGTCCCCATGGGCTTCCGGGGACAAAGGGACCTCGTGATGGGCTGCCCGCCCCCACCTGCTCTTCCCTGGCCGTGTCCCCGGGGGACCGGGCGCGCTCAGCTGTCCTCTCTCTCACCCCCCAGCGTCCAACCCACCAAGAAACCGTGTTGGGCCAACTTTAAAAATAATCCTGACTCTACCGCCTCCCAAGCCTCCGCTGCCGAGGGCGCCCTGGCCTCCCGGCTCCCCCACGGCCCCCTGCGGCCTCGGCCCCGCAGCCAGGCAGCCACCGAGCCAGGCTAGTCAAGGGGGCAGGCCACCCGCCCCTCCCGGGAGGAGGCGGCGCTCAGCCATCAGCATTCTGAGCCAGGGCTGGTGCCGGTTCTCATGAGCCTCCGAGCTGGTTCCCAGCTGAGCCGCTTGTCCGTGCGGACGAGGGCAGGCCGGCAGCTGGGCTTGGGGGGGGGCCCACAGAGGAGGCCTTTCTTCCCATCAGAGCACTGACTGCATGCTCCCACGCGGCCCAGATACGGAGGACAGTCCCCTAAGTGCGGGCCGGGCGCACCTGCGTCCTGCTGGCCTCGCTCAGCCCGGTGCTGCCTCTCAGGTTAGGAAAGGCCCGGGTCCTGTCGCCCCAGCCCCGGCGGAGGCTGCGGGGTGAAGTTCCCACCGCGGCCAGCAGGGGTCGCGGCGGGACCGCGCGGCCAGGCCGGCTCGGCGGGAGGCGCCGCAGACTGCGCCCCGCGGCTGCTGCTGACACCCCGCCGCGCGCAGCAGGAGCCCGGGGTGTGTGTGTGTGTGTGTGTGTGTGACCCAGTTGCTCGGCTCTCCCGTGACAGGGCGGCCCTGCGTGCAGAGCGCAGAACAGAACCCCAGGCAGCGCACGCCTCCCCGCGGCCCCGGGCCCGCCCTGCCCAGCATCGGCAGAGGACCGGGGTGCCCCCCACCCGGCGTCCCCCCACCCTCCCAGCATCGACTAGCGAATCATTGATTGCCAATGTCCTCTCTCTGGAGGGTGGGGAGTGGGGAGAACCTTTCCCAAGGGCGACATTCCTGAATGATTCTGTTTGGGCTGGTTCAGCGGCCCCTTCATCACCCAGAAGCCAATGGAAGTGAAATTGGGGAGGGGATCTTCCTTCCCAGGGACTAGCTACCCCCCACCCGACTGCGGACACCCCTCTGTCCGTCTGCACAGTCCCCAAGGCCTCAGCTCACCTGCCCGGGAGGCCCGCTGCCGCCAGGCAGGCCTCCTGGGTTGCCTCCACTTCCCTGTCCCTCGCCTCTGCCTCCCAAGACCACCCTGTCGTTCCACCTCCCAGCCTCTTTCCTCCTCTGCCCGCCTCTCTCCCTGGCTCCTCTGGCCCAGTCCAACCTCCTCCTCCTCCCACTCCTGCTTCCGATGGCCAGACCTTCCCTCTCTGAGCACCCCGGCCCCCAGCCCTGGGGCACCCACCCTCCTCCTCCTCCTGGCACCTGCCCTGCAAGGCAGGCCTCCGGTTCACTCCCACTTCCGTTCTTAAAATTTTCCATGGACTTCAGAGGACGTGGAAGGGAGGGGGAGAGACGGAGAGAAACATGGATGTGAGAGAGACACAGGGCCTGGCTGCCTCCTGCAGGAGTCCCCACCAGGGCAGCCTCGAGCCTGCCTTCAGCCGGTGTGCGTGCCTTTGACCCCCTGCCTGGACTCAAACCCGGGACCCTCGGTCCCTGGGCTGACGCTCTCGCCCCTGAGGCGGCAGCGGTGCCTGTGGCCGCTCAGCCCGCCGGAGCGAGGCACCCAGTCACAGGGCACCACAGGGCGTCGCGCTGCCAGCCCGGCACCGGCCTCGCTGGCAAGGCTCTGCCCACGCGTCCCGTCCACTCCGCACTGGCGTCCCCGTCCGCACGGCTCCCGCTTGGCCGGAGCACGGCTTCTGCTTTCTAAGAGCGGCATTTGTTTATTCCCCGGACTTCCATCGCGGCTCCCGGGCCAGGCCAGAGCCGGAGGCGGGGTTCGCGGCTGCTCGGGGAGCCTGTGTGCCGGCCGCGTCTTCCCAGGCAGCCCGGGTCTCCCCAGGGGCAGAGGCTGCTTCCTGCAGCACCCGCAGCCCCGGGGGCAGTGACCTCCGGTCCCTCCTCCGGGAGTCCGTCCTGCTGCTGCTCCATCCTGTGCGGGGGCTGGGCGGCCGGCCGGGCCGTGGGATGCAGGACGGACGGCTTGGGAGGGGGGTCTGGGAGCAGAGAGCTCGGGGAAAGTGCTGGGATTTGGGACTGAGAGCACAGTCCTTCCCCCGCACCCACAGCGGACCCCCCACCCTGAATGTAACCTGAGCAGCAGGCCAGGCCTTGGCCCCAGCCCCCTCACCCCCCTAACCCCCCCCCCAAAGATCAAGGCCTCACTGGGACCCTGGGACCGGCTGGGCCCCCCTCCCTCCCTTATCCCACTCTCACTGGGGAGGTCGCCAGAACAAAAGATGAGAGCCCCCCCTGGCCCCGACTTCAAACCCCCCACCCCCCACCAAAGCCCGGCTCCCAGTCTCCAGCCGGGCGGACCCCTCTCCCAGGGCCCAGCACCAGCCCAGGCAGACACGGGGTTGGGTGGGGGAGATAGGGAGGCTGGGGGGTGGGGGAGGCCGAGGGAGAGGCAGATGGCAGGAAGCGCGAGGAGCAGACACAGGAAGAGGAGTCTGTTTAATGACACGCCGGGTCTGGTTACAAACATCAGAAACTACAAAAGGAGGACAGGCAGTCACACGGAGGGCACCGGAGGGGACACGGCACAACAGTCACAGCAGCAGAACATCCTGAGGACGGCGACACACGTGACCGAGGGGCGCACACGGGGTGTCCCCGCCGCCCTGACCCAGCAGCCGGGAGGGCGGGGACGGGGGGCCCCAGCCTCCGAGCTCCACAGGGAGGCGATGAGGCAGCTGGCCCTGCCCGCCGCCCCCTCCCGCTGGGGCCGCCGGCTTCGTGACAAAGGCAGATGGGGCTCCACCTCCGCCCCTCCCCCTTGCAGGCGTCCCGGCCTGGGACTCCCGGCCCCCCTGCCTGCCCTTGACCTTGAGGGAGCAGGGCAGCGAGCCACACGCATCCCTCTGTGTGGGGTAAAAGCGGGGAGAGCCAAATCCTTCTCGCAGGGAGGCGGGAGCCGGTCCCAGAATGGGCTGCGTCACCCCAGCCCTGCCCACGCGGGCCCTGGGGTCGCCCCCAACCCCGCCCACAGGCCCAGCTCCCCTCTGTGCCCACGCGGGACCCTCATCTCTGCCAGAACACCCCGTCCTCTGCCCAGAAGCACGGGCAGGGCCCCTCCCTGCCCCGCGCGCAGGGGAGCAGGCCCGAGGCCCCTCCCCGGGGGTACACAGTATAGATGTGAGTGTATATATATCTTTATAGAGGCTGCATATAGAATATATCGTGTGTGACATGGTAGATACGTGTGCGTGATGTTCTAGAGGTGACGGAGACCTGCATGCTGGCCGGGCGACAGAAGCCGGGCGGGCCTGGCGCAGCCGCGGCCACACACAGACCCGCCGCGTCCCGCCCGCCGCCTGCGGGCTCTCCACGGTGATAAGTAGAAAAGCTAAGGAGCGTGGGCCTGGCTCTTGGAGGGGAAAGGGCCCCCCACCCCGCAGGCCGCGCCACCGCGGGGTCAGCATCCAGCGCCGCCTCCGGGGGCTGGAGGCAGAGGCCCGTCCAGGAAGACGCCCGGCCGGGGTCCCTCCGGCCTCCCTGGCGCCCAGCAGCGGAGGGTCAAGGAGGGTCTTCAGAGCGCGGCCTTCCGCTCCGGGTGCTGCCGGCGAGCGGGGCAGACAGCGGGGGCCCTAGGGCCCCGACGAGGGGGAAGGCAGCGTGGCCGGGGGGCTGTGGACGAGAGAGGGAGCAGCAGGTCACGGGGGGCACAGACTGGGACCGGGGGTCAGGAATGGGGGGGCGTGGGGCGGGGTGCTAGCAGCTGAGACCCCGCATGGCACAGGGGACAGCAGCCCAGGGGCCCGTGGAAGGGGACCTGGGCCTCAGGCAGGTCCGTGGGCCGCCCGAACCCCAGCCCGTGGTCCCTACAGCAGGGGATGGTGGGCACGGTCTCCCAGCTGCCAAGAGCCAGGCAAATGGAGCTGCTCTGCTGTGATGGACAGGAGTGCGTGCTCGGCCCGCCTGCGGCCCCCGCGGACCACCCAGGGGCAGGCTCCGTACACACGGCCCTTTGCTCTCGGCACCGCATGCCCCCCCCCGCCCGCCTTCGCACCCACAAACACGCACCCACACCCTCAGGCAGAGACAGCTCGGTAAACAGGGCGTCTGGCCCACCCGTCCCGATAAGAGGACCTGGATGGAGGCCCTCCTCCCACGTCGGCCGGTCCCTCCCTCCCTCCTGGCTCCCGGCTCCGGCTCCGGGCTCCGGCCGCCTGGGGCCTCAGCAGAGTTGGGGGGGATGGAGGGGGGAGAACCATCCCCACGATGGCCCAGCTGGGGAGAGGGGTACCCCCATTGCTCGGTGGCGGGCCCAGGTGGGAGCAGGGCCTGGCCACCCTCCCCAGAAGCCGTCTCCACGGAGACGCAGGGGCGGATGAGGAGGCCGGATGGTTTCCTAATTCTCGGGGTTGGGGGGGGGCGTTTAAGTCCCCGGGGCCCAGCGGGGGCAAGAAGGGGGCGGGGCGGGGCTTGGTGTCGGGAAGCGGGTCCACGTGTTTCTGATTCACGGGCCTCGCTGGCCAGCTCGCGCTCGGTCCCTGCAGGCCCCGGTGGAAAGGCCTTCTCTGGAAGCAGGAAGTGTCGGCCCCTGGCTGTAAACAAGCCCGCTGGCGGCAGAGGCTGCCTGGGGAGAGGGTGGGAGGGCAAGTCTCTCCCCTCTATCCCCACCCACCCCCAGCCACTGGCCCCCTGCCCCTCTGGCTCCCCAGCCCGTCCCCGGGCCCTGTCAGCGCCTCCCTGGCAGGTAACCGTCTGCCTCCATCCACCCGGGGCCGGGCAGAGCAGGGCCAGCTGTGCACACCCGGAGGCTGAGGGCGATGGGGGCGGGGAAGGAAGCGAAGAGCCCGGCCAGCATCCTCAGGGGACGGATGGATGGATGGCCGGTCCGAGGCCTGGCCTCCCAAGGCCGCCCAGGGGACCTCCCCTCGGAGCTGCGCCCACAGCCCACCAGGAGGCTGAGAGCAAGCAGCCCGGCCCCGGGCCAGTGGGGAGCGGGGCGGGCCGCCCCAGGCCTGGGAACCCGCGGGGGATGTTTCTCTACAGCGCGTGTCCGGGCTGCTGGCTGACCCCGCTTCCCATCCCGCCTCCGCTCCCGCCCCGCCTCGCCCAGCTCCGCCAGCCGCCCCTGGGGGCCCCGGAGGCCGAGCCTTCCCAGCCGCGTCTGGGCGGGGGCCAGCCCGCCCCTCGGCTCCGAGCCGGCCGCCACCCTCGCGGAGCCACCCGGCTCACCCAGAACTGGGAACCGCCCTGGGGTCAGCGCAGAAGTAAACACCGTGGTGTGTGTGCGTGAGGGACACCCCGGCCTCCCGCTGGGCTGGCCGCGCTGGCGAGTGTGCGGCCCGCGTGACTGCCCTCCCGCCGCGCTGGCCCAGGAGAGCGGCCGCCCAGGTGGAAACAGCCATGTACCCGTGCCCAGGGAGCGGCCAGCAAGCGCCCGCTGCCTCTGGGCCCGGGAGCCAGCCTCCCCGCCCAGGCTCTGCCCTCCCCACCCAGGCTCTGCCCTCCCCGCCCAGGCTCTGCCCTCCCCGCCCAGGCTCTGCCCTCCCCGCCCAGCCTCTGCCCTCCCCGCCCAGCCTCTGCCCTCCCCGCCCAGGCTCTGCCCTCCCCGCCCAGGCTCTGCCCTCCCCGCCCAGCCTCTGCCCTCCCCGCCCAGCCTCTGCCCTCCCCCACCAGCCTCTGCCCTCCCCCACCAGTCTCTGCCCTCCCCTCCTAGGGGCTCTGCCCTCCCCTCCTAGGGGCTCTGCCCTCCCCTCCTAAGGGCTCTGCCCTCCCCTCCTAGGGGCTCTGCCCTCCCCTCCTAGGGGCTCTGCCCTCCCTGCCTAGGGGCCTAGGTGCTGAGAAGGCGCCCCCTGGGCTGGGGTCTAATGGGCGCTCACAGCTCACGCAGGCCGGGCGGCGGGCATAGAGGCCCAGGTTTATGCGGCCTTTCCAGCTGCGTCTGCTCCCAGGCCCGCCTCCCTCAGGGCTCCTGCCAGGCCCGCCCTGGGCCCCGGGGAGACAGAGACCAGGGAGCGCCCGGCCCACCCTCGGCTCCTCACGTGGTGGCGTTGGGGACCTGCTGTACCCAGCCCACGTCCTTGTAGGCCGCGGTCACGTGGCTGTAGATGAGGCCGCGCAGCTTGGCCCAGGCTCTCTGCGTCTCGGGCGGGAAGTCGTTGGCAAACTCCTCGGCGATCACCTCCAGAATGACCCCCAAGAGGATCTGAGGGCGGGAGGAGGAGGGGGCGTCAATGCCTGGGCGCCCTGCCCCCCCAGGCCCCAGCACCCACACACCAGCCCCTCCATCCTGCTGCCCGTCCCTGTCACAGCCCAGCCGGGGGGACTGGGTGGCCCAGTGGTCACTCGCTGTCTGGGGAGCCCCCCGCCCCAGCCTGTAGGCGAGGGGGGGACACACCTTGAAGTACACGGGCTCCACCTTGTGCTTGAGGGCGTGGGCCTTGCCCACCAGGGCGAGCACGGAAGACACCCTCTCGGGGTCATGCAGGCTCTCCACCACCGAGTTGAGGGCTCCCATGACGCGGCGGGCGTGCTTCCGCAGCTGCGGGCTGCGCTCCATCTCCAGCGGCTCCTCCATGTGCTGGAACTGGCTGAAGTACTGCTTGGCCGACGGGAAGTTCACGAAGAACCTGGGGGGGGGGACGGGGCGATGAGGCAGGGGCGGCCCGGGCCCCCCTCGGGCGACCAGGACACGGGGTGCGGGCCGGGAGAGGCAGGGCCCACGGCCGCCCGTTTTCAGCACCCTGCGCTGTCCCGCACAGACAGACCTCCTGCGGCCCCCTCCCCCACCCCGGCCATTCTGTGGGCCAGACTCGGCCTTACCCCGGCCTCTGCCTTCCTTGCCCTCGCCCCTTCCCAAGCCCTCACTCCCCACAACGCGCAGCGAGGCGAGAGCTTATCTCTGTCTCTCTCTCTCTCTCTCTCAGGAATGCCCGGCCCGTTATTTAGCCTTTGCCAGCCTCAGGGTCCTCATCGGTGAAATGGCTCCATGGTTCCTCTCGCGTCTGTGAGCTGTCTGAGATGAAACGAGACCTGGACACTGAGCGGAGCCCTCACAGAGCAGGCCGGGCCCGGGAGCCGGCCGTCGGGCTGCTGGAGCCGGAGCCCCTTTGTGGCTGCCCCCACTCCCCGGCCTCCCAGCCGACGGGACAGACAGACTCGCCCTTCTTCACCCGCCTCTGCCCGCAGTGACCAGCAGCTGGGGGGGGGGGGGGACGTAGTCACAGAGCCGCGGAGTCCCTGCCTGGCAGCCCTGAGTGCCTTCGCGCCCTCCCGGGAGCCTGCCCGCTGCAGCACCAGGCCCTTCTCCAGCCCCTCCCATGCCGTGCGTGTGTGCACATGTGTATGCATGTGTATGTGCACATATGTGTACGTGCATGTGTGTGTGCATGTGGAATGCATGCACGTACTCTCATCACATCCCTCTCAGGCTCCGACACTGTCAGCGGCTCCTCACTGTTCACCTCCCTACCCTGGGTCCCAGCCTCCTTCAGACGTCCACCCTCAGACCTGCCCACGCCCGCGCCTCCAGCCCCATCGCACTCCCTGCCTCCGGACAACCCCAGCCCCGCAGCCGCCCCGGCCGCTGGCAGGAGTCCCTGGGTGCCTTCCCCTGGCCCAGCACCCCGCTTCCCCGCACTGGGCTGGGTTCCCGCCACCCGTTACCGGGCTCCACAGCCGGCGGGCAGAGCGGGGCTCAGCTCCCTCTGGCTCACCCGCAGGCCCCAGGCCCAGGACGCTGACAGCGCGCAGGAGGCCCCGGGAGGCGAACGCACAGACCGTGGGCACGCAGACCCAACGGAAGCCTGGAGGACACAAGGATGTCTCAGACCCGCTTCCTCAGGCTGTTTCCTGTTCTGCAGCGGCCCCGCGGTGAGCAGAGAGCTGATCATCTGCCCAAACGGCCCTCAGACCCCAGAGCCAGAGCAGAGGCAGAGGGGCCGCTGGCCCCGTCCGGAGGGACAGCACACGGCCCGGTGGAGCCGGGGGAAGCCCCTCTCTGAGGCCAAGCGTGGCCTCGGGCAGAGGATTCGCCGTCCCGTCTGCGCACGTGAGAGGGTCCCTTCGCCCGGCACGCGCCACCTCACAGACACGTCCGCCAGTGCGGACAGCGGAGGCGATGAGTCTCAAGATAGAAGCATCGTGCCCTGACCGGTGTGGCTCAGTGGATAGAGTGTCGGCCTGTGGACTGAAGGGTTCCGGGTTCGATTCCGGTCAGGGGCATGTACATTGGTTGCGGGCACATCCCCAGTAAGAGCTGTGCAGGAGGCAGCTGATGGATGTTTCTCTCTCATCGATGTTTCTAACTCTCTATCCCTCTCCCTTCCTCTCTGTAAAATAAATCAATAAAATATATTAAGAAAACAAAACAAAAAAAACCCAGAAGCATCGCCACGAAGCACAGATGTGCAGACCCGGCCCTCCTGGGGCTGCGGACCCTGGGGAGTGAGAGTGCAGTGAAAAGAGTGGTTTCTATTGGCAGGTGGTGTGTGTGTGTGTGTGTGTGTGTGTGTGCGCGCGCGCGCGCTCGGGGGGCACAACCTCCCCGCCTGTTCTCTCCGTTAATTCGCACGACTGAGCAGTCACTCCACCCACTTCACGGTGAGGACCGACCGGGAGCACTTGCTGAGCACCTACTGTGTGAGCTCGTTCACCGAGCTCTGCCCGGCGCTGATGGAGCTGGCGGCTGGCCAGGAGGGGGCGGCGGTCCCCGCTCGGACAGTTTCCCCCTGGCAGTGTGGGGGTGGGGAGGGGGTGTCCTGGGACCCAGGTCAGTGTCCTGCCTCAGCCCCTGATGGTGGCCCTGAGGGATGATGGTCCAGGGAGCCCCTCTTCCGTGCAGGGGAGTCCAGGGCCGGGTGCTCTGCTCCTCCGTCCTGGCTTTGCTCCTGGCTCCCAGTGTTTACTCCTGACCCTCCTCCCCCCGCCCCCATCGGGGCCTGTGCATCCCGGAGAAGCCCCAGCCGCGGGGAGCTGCTCTGCTCCAGAGGCAGCGAGGCTTCCGGGGGAGCCTGCCCCCGGCTTGTCTGCGTGTGGGGGGAAGCGCTTGGGTGTTCCCTCTCCACTCCCTGCAGGGAGTGGGGGTGGGCTGCTCAGACCCCCAGCCCTCCACTGCCACCAGCGCTGTGGCTGCTAACTCCCGGGTGGGGGTCAGGGGCTCCACTGCCTCAGCCCAGGGGGAGGGCGGAGAGTGGTGGTCCCGGGGCCTGTCCTCGGAGGGGGAGACAGGAGGGGCTGTGACAAACCTGAGGGCACATGGCTGCTTTGGGACACCTGAGAAGCTTACCACACCCTTGCCCTTATCCCCTATAGGCCCCATGGGCCAGGTCCTGGGAGAGAGCGGGGGGGGGGGGGGGACGAAAGGGAAAAAGGCTGGTGAGGCTGGGGCTGGGGCTGGGCTGGGCTGGGGCTGGGGCTGGGGCTGGGGCTGGGGCCGGGTTGGGGCTGGGGCCGGGTTGGGCTGGGGCTGGGCTGGGCTGGGGCTGGGCTGGGGCTGGGCCCGCTGGACCCTGCTCAGCACAGAGTGGGCTCCGGGGAGCGTGCCCTGGGTTGCGGGCAGGTCAGATCTCGGGCCTTCTCAGACCAAGGGTGGGCCCGTCTCAGTGCCCAGCGCTCGGGTCAACACGCCTGCAGCCCAGCCCAGGGCCCTGTGAGGGTCAAGGTCGGAGCACGAGGGGTGCCGATGGGGGAAGGAACCTTCGCAGAGCTCAGAGCTCAGAGCTCAGGCAGCCCAGCGCCTTCCTCTGTGCGCCCCCATCCCGGGGGGGGGGGGGGACGACCCAGGAGCCACATCTTAGACACGTCCTGTCCCAGGACTGTCATTTCCTCCTGGCAATCCCTGGTGCACCCTCGCGTCCTGAGGCGGGGCGGGGGGCTGGGGGGGCGCCTGCACAGGGCTGAGAGCGGCCCGGGAGGCAGCTGGCTCTGGCGCGGCTGGGACTGCCCACGGTGGGCCTGTGTGGGCGCTCCCCCGTGTGGATCTGCGCCTCCGAATGCCTGAGGCTCCAGGATCTGAACCCCCCTCTCCGCTCCCCCTCCACCCCTGTCCCCACCACCCCCGGGCGCTGCAGAAACAGCTGCCCCTCCTCAGGACGCCTCCTCCAACTCCCCGGAGTGCTGCCTGTTCTCTCTCCTCCCAAATGTTTCCTCGTTGGAACTGGGGCGCATCCGTGCGGAGCTGGGAGGTCCCAGGCTTGGGGGAGGCAGAGGGAGAGAGCGGGGCGGGGAGAGGGGAGAGGAGCCAGGCTGGGCCAGGACTGGGAGACAGACAGGCGGACGGACAGACAGGCTGCACTCGAGTCCTTTCCCCAGCGAGGTCCCATCGTCAGGGGTATGACGGCCCTGCTCTGCCCCAGACTGCAGAGCTCCCCTCGGCCAGGGCCAGGGGCGGGGAGGGGGGCGAGGGCAGGGGACAGCCCTCTCTGCGGGCACCCCAGGCCCCGCACTTGTGGGAAGTGAGCAGCGATCGGGAGCTACAGTCAGCAGTGGCGAGTGGGGCTCGGGGACACTTTATAGGAACGGTGTGAGTGTGTGTGTGTATGTGTGTGTGTTGTGTGTGAGTGTGTGTGTATGTGTGTGTGATTGTGTGTGTGTGTGTATGTGTGTGTGAGTGTGTGTGTGTGGTGTGTGTGTATGTGTGTGTGATTGTGTGTGTGTGTGTGTGTGTGTGAGTGTGTGTGTGTATGTGTGTGTGAGTGTGTGTGTTGGGGGGGGCCGAGGGGCCCCTCCGCCCACCTGGTGCCCTAATGACCCCTGAGCTCAGACACATGGCCTCTGCCCCCAGGAGGTGACTCAGGGTGCGGCCTGCCTCCTGTCCTGCCCCCTTCCCGCCACAGGAGCTGGAGGGATGGGGTCGGGGGACTCTGGCTCACCTGCACCTCACCTGGGACTCCCAGGGCGCTCCGGGGCGGGGAGGCGGGGAGGCCTGTGGGCTCGGCCTCCGTTCCTCCCGGCCTCTCCCCTCTTGCCCTTTGCTCTGTCCTTCTGAGAGGCTTTACCATCTTCAAGGGGATGAGCTGCAGAGAGTGCTCCGCTCCTCCTGATCCCCTCGCGGGCTGAGCCTCAGTTTTCCCTTCTCTAAAATGGGGAGCCCCGCTGAGGCACCCCTCTGGGGGTGAGTGAAACGTGTCCGGAGCAGCTCAGCCGGATGCCTGGCTGAGTTCCCAGGGCAGGAGGCGGGGGACGGGGCGCCCTCCTTCATCGGGGTCCTGGTTCCCGGGGAGCCCGCGCCCCGAGCCAGGGAGGCTCCGTGAGAGCTCTGCCACCCACGGCGCCCGCGCTGCTGGGACCCTGCCGGCTGGCCCCGCCGCGTCTGGGAGCTCGGACCCGGGCCACCTGGGCCACCCGGGCCGAGCCCGCCCGCCCGCCCGAAGCCAGCCGCTGCCGCCTCCCTCCCTCCCCGGCCCCGACACCTACCGCACCAGGATGGCCACCCCCACGTCCTCGCAGTTGGCGTAGAGCCGGGCCCACGTCGCCTGCACCGCCGTCCTCTCCGCCTCGGACAGCTCCTCGCCGCGCTCCCGGCGCTCGCTCTCCATCTCGCCCGGCACTTTCTCCATCGGCGGCGCCCGCGGCCTCGCTCGGCGGCGGCGGGGGGCGCGGGGCGGAGCGGGCGGCTGCGTGCGCGGCGGGCGGCGCGGGAGCGGGAGGCGCGGGGGGGGAGGGAGGGAGCGTGTGTGCGCGCCGCGCGGGTGTGCGTGCGTGTCTGTGCGTATCTGTGTGTGCGCGTCTGTGTGCGTGTATGTGCGTATCTGTGTGTGTGTGTCTGCGCGTGTGTGCGTGCGCGTGTCTCTGTGTGTGTCTGCGCGCTGGTATATGTGCGGGGGGCGGGGGCCGCGGGCGGGGCGGGGATGCGGTCTGCTGGGAAAATGTTGCAAAAACAAATCCGCTCCAAACCCCCAGCCCGGCGTCCCGGGCCGGGCCCTGCAAGGTGAGGGCCGGGCCGTGCGGGGCGGGGCGGGGCGCGCGGAGTTTGGCCGCGGGAGGGGCCGCGCTGGGTGGTCCCGGCGGCGGGCGGCCGGGCGCCGGGGCGGGGGCCGCCGGGAGGCGCGGGGCGGGGCAGGTCTGGGGAGCGGCGTCTCCGCTCGCGCTGCGGTGGGAGTGGGGCGCGGGCGTGTGCCCCCTTCTCGCCGCGGGGAACGGGCTGAAGTCCTACACGTCCGGGCATTGGCGGTGGGGCCGCCCGCCACGGGGTGGACGCGAGCTCCTCCGGGGCGCCCGGTCCGATCGGAGTTCCCGGGGAGGGAGGGGGCTTCTGGCCTCGCCCCCCGCGGCGCCGCCCCCAGCCCCGGGCCGGCCACGGAGGTTGGGACTGAGGTCTCCCTGCCCCAGTGCCTTCCGCAGTCACCCACTTCGGGGATGGGGACTGTCAGACGGCGCGCCAGAGGCCCTCCGCCCAGCCCCAGCCCCCATGTAACACCCATGTCGTCGGAGGGAAGTCCTGGGTGGCCTACATGGCACTGGCCCTGGTGAGCAAAGTGTGGAGAGGCAGCCGGCTGGGCACAGCGGACCTGGGAGGGTCAGGCAGGCGTGGGGAGGCCCCTGGTAGGGAGGGTCCTGGGTGGAGGGGACACATTCTGCCTCTGAGCGCCCCAGGGGTCCCGCCCTGCCAGCAGAGGGGCGGCCAGGTCCCCATGGAAGCCGGAGGCCAGGCTAGGCGGCTCCTCTGAACCATGTGAGGGCATCCATCCGGTGTGTCCAGTCCCCCGCCCCCAGGCTCCCTGTGACCCCGCCTCCCAAGCCCTCATCCCAAGGACTGCCAGAGGCCGGCTCCCTCTTCAACCTCATGTTTATCTGAAAACACGCACTTCCGAGCAGACGGCCCCCCTGGGACCTCAGGCTCGGCTCCTTCCTGCAGTCCAGGCGGCCGTGGCAGGGGCCTCTGGACATGGCTCCATCTCAGCGGAGGGAGGGAAAATCTGGCTTCATCTAGGAGAGGGTGTGGGCTCAGTGTCTTATCATCACTCCCGGATCCAGGTCCCCCTGCACCCCGTCTGGGCCAAGACCGAGCGCACTGCCCTGGGCCACCCCCAAACTCATGACCGTTTCCCAGAGCCAGTTCGGCGGCCTTCCCAGCGGCCGCCCAAGAAGTTCCTCTGGGATGTGGAAAGCGAGTAGAAGAATTGCTCATTTTTATCTCTTATCTTCTAAAAAGATACATATTTTGATTGATCTCAGAAGGGAAAGGGAGAGAGAGAAACATCAATGATGAGAGGGAATCATGGAGCGGCTGCCTCCTGCACGCCCCACACTGGGGTCAAACCCACCACGTGGGCCTGTGCCCTGACCGGGAATCCAACTGTGACCTCCTGGTTCCTGGGTCAACGCTCCACCACCAGGCCACGCGGGCGGGGCTGTTTTTACTTCAATCTTCACACGTTTTAGGTGTGTTGGTGGCGCAGGACGTGTGTGCACAGTAGCACGTATACCATCCGTGAGCGGATGCACAGATTATTCCGGGAGCACACGCTTACCCACCGCCGTCCTTACTGAAGAGCCGCTGGGAGGGAACTGCCCGGAGGGTGGGACGGAGCCACTGAGCCGGCCTTCGCTCGCTGGCCTCTGTCTTTCCGGCTTCATCTGCTATCCCTCCCCTCTCCTCCCCTGGGCGCCCCCGGCGCCTGTGACATCACCGCCCTCTGCCTCTTACCTTCCGGTTGCTGGAACCTTCGCTTTCAGGCCCCTGGCAGGGCCTCCGGTCTGAGGACCACCCTTCCCTGAGCGCCTGCTTCCCGCGCTCCAGCTCCCAGCATGCCCGGTGGCCACTCTGTGATGGTGACTGCTCACCTTAGTGCCCTGGTCGGCAAACTCGTTAGTCCGCAGAGCTAAATACCAACAGGACAACGATGGACATTTCTTTGGAGAGCCACATTTTTTAAACTTAAACTTCTTCTAACGCCACTTCTTCAGCATAGACTCGCCCAGGCAGAGCCACACTCAAGGGGCCAAAGAGCCGCATGTGGTTTGCGAGCCGCAGTTTGCCCACCATGGCTTTAGTGCGTTGGTCTGCACTACCTCCGCCTGGAGGGCCAGGCCACGTCTAGTCCGTCTAGAGCCAGAACAGACCAAGGCCTATTTCCCTGGCACGGGGGGGTGGGGTGGGGTGGGGGGGGTGGGAGGGGACGGTGGGGGGGGCAGCGGGGCCCAGGGAGGGTAATCATCTGCACAAGGTCAGGCCTGCTGACCCCAGTAATCAGCTTGAGCCTCCTAATCCATCACAGCAGGAACATAGGATGCACGGCGGGGGCCTGGGAGCCGGCAGGGGCCATCTTGGCCTCCTTGGCAGACTCAGCCCCGAGGGGATGGGGCAGCCGAGCCATGTGCACCACCCTCCTCCTGCTCAGCACCTTGGCTATGCTCTGGCGCCGACGCTTTGCCAACCGGGTCCAACCGTGAGAAACCGACTGGGCCATGGGCTGGGGTGGGGAGAAATTGTGTGGCGGAGCTGGAGGGGGGCAGGGCTGCCCGGACCTCTGCAGGGAGTGGGGGGGGGCGCTCCAGGGGTTTGCAGGGACTTCTCAGGAGGCTCCCCATCAGAGTAGGGGACTTGAGCTCTTCAGAGACATTGGCTGCCACCACCTCCGGCCAGTCCCACAGCCCCGGTGGCCAGGCCCCGCGGAGGAGCGGGAGAGGGGTCTGGCTCTGGCCCACAGCTCTTGCCGCCTGCCCTCTCCTCCCGCAGAGAGCCGGGCGAAGTGGACGGGGCAGCCCTGGGCAGCAGCCTGGAAGCAGACACCCGGTCCCGCGGCAGGTAAGGCAGAGAGTCTGGGGCGGAGGAGGGTGCTGTCTGTCCCCAGACCCTGTCCCCGGGGAGGTACAGGGGTGCACTGTGAGCTGGCCCCTGCCCCCGGTGCCTGGTGGGCAGGCTCCACGCCTGTGTTCTCCAGCCTGTCCTGGGCCAGAGCGGCTCTGCTCTGCTGGCCCGGGGGTGCAGGTGGCCCCATCCCTTCGTCCCCGGTAGGATGCTCAGGGGGACCCGAGGGAGGGCTGAGGCCGCTCTGCCCGCAGCCCTCCCTGCCCGCCCTCCCGGCCCCGCCCAGCGCCGGCGGCTCCGCGGCAGGATTGGCGGGCCAGCCACCAATAGGAGGCGCAGGAGGCGCATGACATCACCAGCTCTGCGTGTCATTGGCTGGGCAGCCCCGCCGGCAGGGCGCTGTCTCCGGTGGCCACAAAGTGAACTCCGCCCGGGGCAGAAGTCATGTGGCCTTTCCAGGGGGTGAAGTTGGGGAACTTTGGGCTTGTCCTTCCCTGGGTGACGGCGTCCTGTGCTGAGAGGGGCTCCCAGGCCCAACAAAACACAGGAAAACCAGCCAATGTTTATGAAGAACATTCTAGTGCGGAGACGTCTGCAGAGTTCGTTCTTCCTGCAGAAGCAGGAGTTGCCCTGGCACAGCCGGGCCCCCTCCTCCTGGGGCCAAGGCCCGGGGCCCCGGGAAGGTGCCTCTCAGGGCTCAGGCGGCTGTGACAGCAGCATGCCTGTGCCAGGTCCCTTTGGGGCTGAGGAACCTGCCTGCCGAGCGCCCCTTAGAGGTAGTGGGAGCCCAGAGGCCTGGTCTTCGGGTCCGATTCCCCAGGTTCCAGTGTCAGGAGCCACTGCCATCTCATCTGAAAACTGCGCCCCAGGAGCAGAGGCACAGAGCAGACCTTGCCGGGAGTCCCTCCAGATCTGTCTCTGAGGATGGTCCCTCGGGGGCCTAGGAGGCTCTGGCCAACAGGATGACGTGAGCAGCGTGAGGGGCTCCTCCTGTACTTCAGAGGGTGAGAGGGAGGAGAGCATCCTGATAGGCCGCTGGCCACCGGAGTCAGGCGACCGAGGTTGAGTCTGGATGTGATGCCCACTCGCCTGCCACCCTATTGTCACCCACCAGTAACCGCCTGGCGTCTCAACACTCTTCCTCTGTTAGCACAGCCCCAAGCTGTGGGGGGTTCAGTGGGGGAATTCCGGTGAAATACGCATCTCGGAGCCAGGCGCAGAGTCTGTGCTGGGTAACTGGCAGCTGTGCTGCCCCCCCCCCCCCCAAACCCTAGAACCTCCCCCTCCAGCCGCCCGGGGCCCAGGCATGGTTCAGGCAGCTTTGTCCTCCGGTGGGGGAGCATCTTTCCCTCTCAGCCCACTCAGTCTCCAAAGGCCACGCTGAGTGAAAGACCTCTCCAGGCGGACAGCCTTCCTCTCCGGGCAGAGCAGGCGCCCGTAGAACCTGCTACAGGAGTTAACGTTCAGCCCGTGGCCCCGCTGCCCTGCCCAGAGCCCTGCTCAGCCACCCCCGGCAAGGACAGGCTCCCGGCTCTGAGCCGGGCTGTGCGGGGATGGACGGCGCCAGCGGCGGGCTGTGGGCTGGTCAGGGTGTGGGCTGGGACCACGGCAGCTCTTGTGCTGCCGCGTCAACTGTATTCTCTTCCCAACACCGATTAAAGAGTCAAAAAGATGGTGGGGTGAGTCACTAGGCATGGGGTGTGAGGAAGCGGAAGGCTGGAAACCTGGGAAGGAGCCTCACCCCTGCACCCCAACTCCCAAGCTGTCCTCTGTTCAGGGAGAAGCCTGTGGAGTGAGGCCTCACCTCCTCAGGTGCAGCTCAGCCCCAGCGAGTGGGATCAGCTGGCCCAGCAGGTAGGCCCTGAAAGGCAGAGGGCAGAGGGCGGGGCTGGGGACTAGGAAGGAAGGATGTGCAGGCCTGACCATGAGTCTGTATGTTCGCTGCCAGGGGCCAAGTGTTAGCTGTAAGAGCACCACATGCATCATTTATTTTATTTCATTATTATTATTTTTATCAATTTCAGAGAGTAAGGGAGAGGGATAGACAGAAACATCAATGATGAGAGAGAGTCACAGATCAGTGGTCTCCTCGCCCCCCATAGGGGATGGAGCTTGCAACCCAGGCTTGTGCCTGACTGGGGATCGAACTGTGACCTCCTGGCTCATAGGTTGACGCTGAACCACTGAGCCACGCCAGCCAGGCCATCACGTGGGTCTTGGCAGTGTTTTCCAGGATTGGGGAGGAGCAGTGGCCGTGCTGCGGCCTCTCGGCGGAGGGCTGCTCCGCCTGGGCGCGGGAGGAAGGGCGATCTGGTTGGGCGTCTGCAGCTCAGGTCCCGTGTGCCCCTCCCCCGGGAGGATGCTGTGGGGGAAGCAGCTGCAGGTGGGGAGGGGAAGAATGAGAAAAGGCAGCAACTGAGAAGGTAGGCCCTCCCTCTGCGCCTGGACCCCATCCTCACCGCTCCCCAGGCCCTGGCTGTGCGGGCCCAGAGGCCGGGCTGGCTGGAGCAGGCAGGAGGGGCAGAGAGATGCTCACTGCTCTAGGACGGACTCCCTCTGAGCTCCTGGGCACCTCACCTCGGAGGCAGGCCGAGGGAGGGACTCAGAGGGCCCACGGGGTTAACCCCGCAGCCCAGCAGGGGCAGGAACTGGGGAGTGGGAGACTTTACCAAGCAAGGGCTTCCCATTTATTCTCTGCTCTACTCCGTGCGAGAACCCGGAGGCCTGTCCTGTATCCCCGCATCGGAGAAATGAGGACACAGAGAGGCTAGCTGATTTGCCCACATCACCTCGCTGGTAAGTGGGGGGCCCGGGGGCCCCCATGGAGGCTGCACGAACCTCCGGAAGCGCTGGGAGTTCACAGCTGCGGGGGGCGGGGGGTGTCCCAGCCTGGCCGCCTCCCTGGCTCAGGAGCTCCATGGTAACCCTTAGCCGTGGTCCAGGGCTGAGCGGTGGCTCTCACTCCCGGTGGCATTGGCCTCTCCTGGTCCCCAGCACTCACCTGCCACCGGCTGTGCCGCTGAAGTGATCAGTGAGACGGCCAGTTGGCTTCGTGACCTGCGTGCCTGCAGCTAGCCGGCAGCCGCCCTGGCCTGGCCCGTGTTTTTTGAGTGTGTTCACGTGTGTGCGTGTTCCAAATGGGCAGTAGCGTGTGGGGAGGGGAAAGCATGACACTTGTTTTTGTGGCCGGCTGACTGTTCAGCTCCTGGAGCTGCCAGGGCCCCCCGCTGCTCTGCCATTTCTCTCCTCCAAGTCCTGCTGATCCGAGCAGAGATAAAAGCGGATTTCCGCTCCTGCTCCCCCTGGATCCCGGCGCAGACCCTAAAGGCAGCTGCTCCCCACCAGCTGCAGAGCCCAGAGCCGTCCATCTTCCACAGCCCCCCCCCCCGCCAATCCCCCCACTGCCCCTGCACGCCTCTCCCCCCATCCAGCTGCTGGGCCCACCCAGGAAGCAGAGGGGAGATGGAGGGGCGCTCTGGACAGCAGCACCCCGCCTCTGAAGGGGAGGAAGGGAAGGGGGAGCCGGAGGGGACCATGTGAAGCCCCGGGGAGGGGGTGCTGGCCTGCAGGGGGCTGGCACGCCTGGTGGAGCCCCCAAAGTAGGGCAGGTGGAGGCTGGGGAGGAGTCACCCCGGCAGGTGCTCTGTGCTGGGACCACGTCAGGGCCCCGCTGCCCACCTGACAGGGGCCGCAGGTTCCAGCCACCGTGTGGGTGCCTGTCTGCCTGTCTTCCTCCGGAGGCAGGGCCCTGTGACAGGCTGTCAGGCTGAGGGCCAGAGGGCACTGTTCCCAGACAGTCTGGGCTCCTGGCCGTTTTCACATCCTCCCTCTAGTCCACGTGCCACGTCCCTGTCACTTCGTCCTCGCCTCGCTCCCTGCTGTTTCCGAGTTGCCTGTCTCCTTCCCTGGGACTGAGGAATTGGCCGACAAGGTCAGCGGGCTGTGCCGGGCTGGCTCCCAGCCAGGGACACCCCTTCGCAGCACTCAGGGCGGCTCAGGAGCCGTGGCTCCTCCAGGGACCCACTCCGGAGGGAGGGAGGGACCAGGAGGAAGGGGCTGGGGCCGTGGGGGCTCTGGCCGCGGAGTGGGGACGGGGTGGTGGGGAGGCCATGTGGGCCGGGAGGGAGGGCTGTCCCCCGGGGCGCAGGCTGCTGTGGGGGAGCAGGTTGTTTACGCCTTTCCCCACACCCAGCCCACGCTCCCCCCGATTCCTGGGCCCCCCAGCCCGGGCTGCCTGCACAGTCCGCCCCGAAAACGGCTGCCCTGGGCCTCGGACCCTCTGCACAAGGTGCCGGCCCGATCGCCCTTTCCTGGCCCACTGTCTCCGTCCCAGAGGCTGGGGTGAAGCCCACGGACCCGCCGGACACCATGTCCCCCAGGCTGACGGCTCCTCCCCCCACTTCCTGGAAGAGCCGCTGCTTGGAAAGTCCAGGCCTGGGAGACACCGTCACTATCCCCGGAGGGAGGGACGGAGGGCAGGGGAGCCGCTGAGCGCGGTGGGCCACCCCGGTCCGGCTCAGGAGCGGCTGTGCGGGTTCCAGAGTGAAGTGTGTGGCACGCTGCGTTCCACGCGTGAGCTGGGTGCTTGTTTGTGGCCGTCCGTTACTGAACAATCCTGGCTCCCAACAGCCAGTCCTCATCCCCTGCCCTCACTCCTGCCCTGTCTCTGCACACACAGTATCTGGGGGGAAGGGAGGGTTCTGGGGGGGGGATGACATAAATGAGAGGACAGCAGAGGGAGCACTGCTGGCTGGGGGCCTAGGAAGGCTGGAGGTGAGAAACCGGGAGCCTCTGGAGCCCAGCAGCCTGTGCCCACCTCCCGTGGGGTCCTGGCTGGACACCTCCCGCCGTTGGCTCTGCTTCCAGCCACGAGTCTCAATCTGCGGAGACAGGAGGTGGCTGTCCTGTCGCTTTCCGTCCTCCATCTGGACGCTCACCTCTCTGTCCTCTCCGATGCCAATCCCTGCCGGCGGAGCCCGGTGGCAGGGCGGGCTGCTCCTGGCTGCCGAATGAGATGCACTCTAGAAGCAGAGCCCGAGGCCGGGAGGGGGACTCAGGGCGCTGCGGTCTCCCCTGGAAGACGCCCGGGGGCTGAGGAGGGGGCGGGCGGGCACAGCACCGCTGTCCTGTCACCCAGCGTGCAGATGCCACCTCGGGAGCACTGCCCATCCCGAACGTGTGCTGTGTGGAAGCGGGCAGTGTGGTCCCGGAGGAGGGTACGTAGAGAGGCGCTGGCCCGAGATGAGGTGGGCACGGCCTTCCTGCGGCCGCTGGCTGGCATGGGGGCAGGGTGCCCGCTGGCCGCAGGCTCCAGGGCCTCCGCTGGAGGAAAGTCACGCTGCTTTGGGGGCCTCAGAGGGGAATGGCCGGCGGCTGGCACTGGGCCCACGTTAATGCAGCAGTAATGATGCACTAACGTGAGTAATAATGGCTCACGTGTCTCAAACGCTGGTGAGCTGGGCATGGTGGCTGGTGAGCTGGGCACGGTGCCCAGGGCTGTATCGGAGCCTCGTCTTGTTGGTGAGGCAGGAATCACGGTCTCCGCCCCTCCCGTAAGGGCAGAGTCTGCTCCAGGTCACCCCAGCCAGGGGGAAGCAGGACTTGCACCAGCACCTGATGCCAGAGCTTGTGAGCCGTGGGGCACAGGCCCTGAGTCCAGAGCCGGTGTGACCTGTGGCCGGGCGCAGGGATGCGCGGTGGCCCCGCCCTGTGCCGCCTTTGCAGGTGTTTGCCCGGCCCCTCCCATGGCTCTCTCCCCGGGACCCTGCCACTCAGGGCCGACCAGACAGGCCATGAGGACTGCCAGGGAGGGGGCGAGGGAGCTGCCGCTCCAGGCCCTTCCTCAGGGAGGAAGCGGCGGCCGGGATGACGGACAGTGAGGTCACCGCTCAGCCGCGGCGCCTGCTCCCCCTCAGGGGTGGGAGAGGGAGCTGGAGGAGGGAGGGTTTGTTTTGGGTTCTGCGGGGGGAGGGTGCAGAGCATGGGGACCAAGAGGGACCCAAGGACGCAAGGGGGACCCGAGGACGTGAGCTGGAGAGATCCCTGTGCCCATGACTGCAGGCCCTCTCTGTGGGACACGCATGCCCCCTGGTGGGGTATTGCTGAGGGCGGTGGAGAGCATTTAAGATCTGCTGAGGGGATGGGTCTAGCCGCTAGACCCATGAGCCTGGGTAGGAATGGTCAGTCCTGTCTACGTGAACACACACACACACACGCACACGCTTTATACTACAGGCAGGAGCCAGCTGACATAAGCATTAAAAAATATACATTTCATCTATTCCACTGGGCCCTCCGGTTAGCACAGCATGAGATCCCCACCCAGAACGCCCAACTCCGCCCGCCCCGCAGCTGGCTGGCCCCAGACCCTGCCCTCTCTGGCCCTCGGTGCCCCCTCTGATAAGCATGTGTGAGCCGGTGTGCTGTGCTGGGGACGTTAGGACTAATGACCGTCTTCGGGAAGACACCTGGAAGTGACATGAAGGGAAGGGGGGGCCTCTGGGGCCCTCAGAGCCACCCAATCACAGAGGAGAGTGAGTCGCACCCGGAGACCTCACCAAGACTCGCCTACGCATGAGCATTTCGGAGCGCCCGTGTGCCAGTACTGTGGGCACAAGAGGGATTCCAGCGCCTTCCACAGACAAGCAGAACACTGGGCACAACGTAAGCACACCTTCGCCCACAGGCAGCAGCTGGGAAGGTGACCCCGGACCCTCAGCGCCTGCCTCCGACGACGGGGCCCGTGGCTCCGGGAGGGAAGCCAGGCCGGACAGCCTCGCCGAGGACAGGAGGCGAGCTCCGCGCTCGGGCAGCGTGGCGTCCCCAGGACGGGCACACAGGTGCCACGAAGGCGATTCACCGGGGAAAGGGAAGGCCCCTGCGCAGACCACAGGAAGCACTGACCAAAGAGGAAAAATGGACTCACTGGACTCGGTCAAAATTCTCGGAAAGACTGTGAGGAAATACCTGCCAAGCAGATAGCTGAGGAAGGACCTGGATCCAAAATAGAGAGAGAAATGTTACAATTTAACATGAGTAAGACAGCCCATCAAAAGGGGGAGGGTCTTAATAGACACGTCACACAAAAAGTATTCATATGGCCAATCCACACAGAAAGATGTTTGACATGATAGGTCATCAGAGAAATGCAAATCCAAATCTTGAGATCCTACTAATTTCAACCACCAAAGTGGTTAAAATGAAAGACTGGCCACATAGGTGTTGGCGAGGGTGTGGACAACTGTCATATCTGCTTGGGAAACAAAGCCCTCAGCAGTTTCCTGTGAAGTTATCCATGAGGAATGAAGACTCGTGTTCACAAAAGGGCTGATGCAAAAAAACGTTCTCAGCAGCTTTCTTAATAATCGCTGCAAGCTGGAAGCTGGAAGCCACCCAGATACAAGGGAGCAGATAAGAACAGTGGTATGTTCATATAATGGGATAACAGTCAGCAATGGAAAGGAAATGAACTCCTGACGCAAGCCACAACGTGGATAATTGAGAGAAGCCAGACATAAAAGAATACCCGCTGTACGAATCCATTTGTATGAAATTCTAGAACAGGCCAAACTAATTCATAGTGACAGGAAGCAGACCAGTGGTTGCCTGGAAACGGAGACTGGCAGCAAAAATGGTATGAAGGTGCTCTCTAGAGTGATGACATGTCCTAGATGGTGACTGGGGTTGAGGTTATGTGGGTGCATATGTTTATTGGATTATTGAACTGTACACTGTAAATAGATGCAATGGTATGTAATAAAGATGAGTTAAAAAGAAGCAACACAAGAATGAAGACCTGATCCTTGTCTAGTGGAAAAGTCAGATTTGGAAACAATCATAAAAGAGTGAATATTTAAAGAATTATGTTCAGCCCTAGCTGGTTTGGCTCAGTGGATAGATCATTGGCCTGTAGACTGAAGGGTCCCAGGTTCGATTCCGGTTAAGGGCAAATGCCCAGATTTTGGGCTCAATCCCCAGTATGGAGCTTTCAGGAGGCAGCCGAATGATGATTCTCTCTCATCATTGATGTTTTTATCTTTTTCTCCCTCTCCCTTCCTCTCTGAAATCAATCAAAAAACTATATTAAAAAAGAAGCACGTTCAGCCGAAGCCGGTTTAGCTCAGTGGTAGAGCATTGGTCTGCGGACTGAAAGGTCCCGGGTTCAATCCCGGTCAAGGGCATGCACCTTGGTTGCGGGCACATCCCCAGTGGGGGGTGTGCAGGAGGCAGCTGGTCGATGTTTCTCTCTCATCGACATTTCTAGCTCTCTATCCCTCTCGCTTCCTCTCTGTAAAAAATCAATAAAATATATTTAAAAAAAAAAAAAAAAAAAAAAAAAAAAAAGAAGCAAGTTCAAACCACAAGAGTCCTGTTTCTTGCCCGAGTCCCAGTGCCAGGCCCGTGCTGGGTGCTTCCCAGGCACAATCCTAAGAGTCTCCTCCATGTGTGAGATGGAGGAAGAACAGCTGCCGGTGCCAACCAGCAGTGCCTACCGTGCCAGCGCCCCATGTAAGCAGCCAGCTGCTCGGGATGTGCCTACCCTCCTCATATTCTTACTAAGAGAATGAAAGACCCTCTCCAGGTTAAGAAATGAACGTATGCCAAAGACTCTGCTTTCTATTCCTGTGGGTTTCCGATACCATATTTGTTTGTTTGTTTGTTTGTTTGTTTTTACAGAGAGGGAGAGTTAGAAACATCAATGAGAGAGAAACATCAATCAGCTGCCTCCTGCACGCCCCCTACTGGGGATGTGCCCTTGACCGGAATCAAACCTGGGACCCTTGAGTCCGCAGGCCAATGCTCTATCCACTGAGCCAAACCGGTTTCAGCCTTTTTTTATTTTTTATTTTTTTTTATTTTTAATAAATAAATATTTTTATTGATTTCAGAGAGGAAGGGAGAAACATCAGTGATGAGAATCATTGATCGGCTGGCCCCCTACTGGGGACTGAGCCTGCAACCCAGGTATGTGCCCTGACCGGGAATTGAACTGTGATATCTTGGTTCATTCTGAGGCTCAATCACTGAGCCACGCGAGCGGGGCCGAGTTTCCTCTTTAAGTCTGAAATGAAAGGGGCTTAGTTTGCAGGGAGAGAGAACCCATTCTTCCTCCCAGTATGAGACAAATAATGTCTTCAAGGGTAAGGCAGAGAAACGCAACAACCAATTTCACAAGATAGAGGTTACTGCTGAGTTAATGATTATTTGTTCAGTTCTTACTGGGAGCAAAGGCAACTGAATAGCAAGTAGGCACTGTGAGGACATTAAAAAAGGGAAAAAATGGTAATTAAAAAAAAAAAAGACTTCTCCTGCTCACAGGCCTGGTAATCAAATTAAGGGAGTCAAATGTAAACAGATGCGGAAACTTGAAAACAAGCACCTGGGACATATTACCGCTCCAACGCATTAGCAGGCATTACGGTGCACAGAATAATCCAGACGAAATACCTCCGGGCAGAGCCGAAGAGCGGCGGAGGAGGGGAGAGAGCAATGCAGAAAGGGCTCCCTGGTCTTGCACATTTAACCTGATTCCCAGATCCGCGTGGATTCTGGCCCTGGCTCCAGTTGTTTTGTTGCCCTATTGTCTGCTTCAAAAACGAGGCCAGGGCAAACATTCAGAAGTACCGGTGGGTGTTACATTATTCTCCCTTCTTTTTCAAAATGTGATTATCTTTCCTTCTCGATATTGGCAGCGGGGACCCATAGCGCCTGGCTTCAGGGGAATTCAGAGCAGCCCGGCCCCTGGCTCTCGGGCGCCCCCTGCCGCCCGGGCCTCACCGCGCTCGCACCAACTTTAAAAGCAGCTGAGCGGGGCGTGGGAACCAACCACCCCAGGTGACCCCTCCCCGCCCCGGCCGAAATCCACAGGAGGATTTAGATGAGATCCAGCCGTGCCTCAGTTTCCTCACGGGTTCCCCTCGTGAGGCCCCCTCCAACTTTCTGCGTCCACCACCGCCCCCCAGCCCTCCAGCCACAGTAGCCAAAGCGACCGTCTAGCTTCTTTTCCACTCGGCGGTAACTTCATACATAGATCAATCCTCCCACCCCCGGGCCCTCTGCTGCCCCTGGTGGTGGCCACCATCTTACCCCTGGCTCCACGGTCGCGCCCAAAACGCGGCCACCCGCAGCGGCCGTGGTTTTAGACTACGTTTCCCATGAGCCCTTTCTCAACATCGCGATAACTCCAGCGAGACTGCCGAGAAGACTTGCGCGCAGGCGCGGCCCCGCCCTCCTCCTCGAGGTCGGCCGCGTGGCTGGCGGTCATGGCTGCTTCCGTGCGGGCCCGGGTGGGCGAGCAGCCTCGGGCCTCAGGCCTTTGGCGATGGTAAGACTGCGGGAGCGGGGACTCGGGTCTTCTGTGGGCGCTAGCACACTTGGCCTCCCTTTTTCACAGGCGAAATGGTGACGCCAGCCCTGGCTGGTTTGGCTCAGAGGATGGAGCGTCGGCCTGCGGACTGAGGGGTCCCAGGTTCAGGTCCAGCCGAGGGCACCTGCCGGGGCTGCAGGCTCGATCCCCCACAGTGGGGGCCAATCAGTGGTTCTCTCTCTCATCATTGATGTTTCTCTCTATCCTTCTCCCCTCCTCCCTAAAGTTAACTTTAAAATAAGTAAGAAAAGGGAATGGTGACGCCAAACCTCTCCTCCTCCTTACAGGGTGGTTGGGAGGATTAGCTAAGATACTGGAAGGGGAAACGCTTTCCAAACGGCGCGCGGGTTCGCGGTTGGAGGGAGGGCTGGAGTCCGCCTTCGGCGGGAAGGGCCCTCCGCGCAGCCGCCTGTGGGCTGAGCTTCAGGGCCCGCGGGGTCCCGGGCCCCCCCGAGGGGCCGGCCGGCCGTGGCAGGAGTTAATCCAGGTCGCGAGTGTGAACGCCCGAAACCCTGACGGCCCCCGGAGAGCCCTGAGAGCCGCCCCCGTCGGTTTCTGCAGAATTCTGCGTTTGGCAATGAGCGGGCCTGGAGGTTTTGGAAAGCCGCCTTCTCACAGTTCCTCACACGGTCACCCTTTTCCTTCCCCGCAGGCCTGCCTGGAGCATCTGCAGAGACGGAAGCGGACTTGCAGGTTGAAGCCCGAGAGGAACGAATGGAGCCCCGAAGTGAGGAGGATGGCCGGGTGCAGGCGGGGTCGGGGTGGGTCCCAGCAGTGAGGAAGCCGGGCCGGTGTGAAGGCCTGGCACATGCAGGGTCACTACGCCGCCTCGTACTTTATCCCGAAGTTTTACTTCAGAACAGGTCCGTTCTGTGACTCATGTTGGTCTAAATCTAGAATCCGGAAGTGAGGGGCCTGTGCCAGTGTGGTTGGGAGGCCGCTAGGTGTCGCTGTTTGGAGCCATTGCGTAGGCATTGTGTGGTCGGCAAACTCAGTCACTAGCCAAATGTTCAGAGTACAACGATTGAAATTTCCTTTGAAGCCAAATTTTTCAAACTTATCCTAACACCATTTACTCAAAATAGACTCGCCCAGGCCGTGGTATTTTGTGGAAGAGCCACACTCAAGGGGCCAAAGAGTCGGATGTGGCTCGTGAGTCGCAGTTTGCAGACCACCGGTGTAGGGGGTGAAAGGGAGCCTTGGGTAGGAGTGGGCTGCTATCGGGGGTTTAGAAGGGTTGGCTACAGCCTGAGCTGAGGATGGTTTAACGTTATACCTGTCGGAGAGGCCTTCCTTGGTGAAGAGTTCCGACTTGCTGAGGCTCAGCTGTGTGAATGCGTCTTGAGAACAAACACCATTGTGTCTAGTGGGATGAGAAATATGTTACCTGCATTTCTCCTTCAGGTTCAAGATGTGGACTGTGGGCTGAGAAAAGTCACGTGAAAACCATCATTTTCAGATGTTGAGTGTAAGGATCTTCGTGATGGAAACTTCTATAAATGGTGAGATTTTTAGCTCTTTCACCGAGATGTGGGGTCTTTCCGGATTGTTACTGCTGGGCTAAGGGGAGTAAGTACCGTGTTTCTCCGAAAATAAGACCTAGCACATCTTTGGGAGCAAAAATTAATATAAGACACTGTCTTATTTTCGGGGAAACAGGGTAGTAAGGAGCCCTGTGCTAGGCTCCTCACCAAGCTGTCTCACACACAGCATTTGTTACAGCTGTTGTGAGGATTCGATTAGACCCGTGGTTCTCAGGTGGGGCCAGGCGGTGTGGCTGGGATCTGGTGGGGGCTGCTCAGTGGTTTACAAAGCACAGGACAGCTCCCGCACAAAAGAACTGTCCTCCCAGAAGGTCAGTAGAGCTGAGATTGTAACCCTGTATCGGACCAACGGGAGTGATTTGAGCTCTAGCTGGCCAGGTGCCAGATAGCCGCACAGAGCCTTATTCACTCTTTTGTAACAGGGTCAGGTGTTTCTCAGACCTGTCTGTGCGTCAAAATCACTTACGATGTTACACTGGACACATTCCTGGACACCCCTCCGCCCCCTCCAGCCATGGATGCGTGGGCCCAAGAATCAGGTGTGGCGGTGTGGGAGCAGGCACGGAGGGATAGGTGATCGGATCTGCTTTTAGCTGGGACTTTTATTACAGCAAGATTATAGGACTGGCTATTTTTAACCAGCTCACAGGCGGATCGTAATCCTGTCTTAAAAAACAAAGCCACTTGCCTGCTCTGCACAGAGATGAGTGAAAAACGGCTTTTCATTAATTCTTGGCCTCAGGCACTGTTTGTGCTGCCGGAAGGAGTGATCTGCACTTGACTGACATGTGAAAGACTAGGCTACACACACACACACACCCCATGTCTGTAAGACAGCAGGGCTGAGGGAGACCCTGCCTTTCAAAGGGTAGGAACTGCCCTGGCCGGTCTGGCTCATTGGATAGAGCGTTGGCCCTCAGACCAAATGGTCTCGGGCTTGACTCCTAGTCAAGGGCACGGACCTTGGTTGTAGGCTCGATCTGCAGCCCAAGGTGCATGCAGGAGGCAACCACTCAACCTGTCACTCCTCTCACATCGATGTTTCTCTCCTCCCCTCCTCCTTTCCACCCTAAAAATCAATGGAAGAAGGTCCTCAGGGGAGGGTTATCAAAAAATAAAGGTTATGAACTGTCAGTGTGTCAGGTCTGGACACTAGATAGGGTCAGTGTTTGCCCTTGAGGGAAAGTACCCTCTAACATAGTAGGTGTGGTTGGATGAGAGTGCTCACCAGGGGAGTACAGCAGTTCGGTAAGAAAACACTAGTTTGCATGTGCTGTGGTGGGAGCCGAGTCCATGATGATGTGTTATCCCTGTCTGAAGGCCAAAAGGCCTTTCAGTGTGGAATGTGGTTGTCTGAGACTCAGTTTCCCAAGTTCCTTATAGATAATTTGTGCCTGGTTTGAAAGTGAGTGGTCAGAGAGGTACCTGCATATTCTTGAGCCAGTTTTCTTTGCAATTTCTCTCTGCCAGGCCAGTCCAGCTTGGTTTCGGACCGAAACAGACCCTCCAGGAGAAGCCTCTGAGCGGCAGTAAGTAGCCCTGGGCCTGCCGGGCGTGGGGTTCTGTGAGGGGCTGGAAGGACTGACACAGGCTTGTCTTCTCCGTCAGATGCCGCAGGGTGAGGCACAGAACTGAACGCTGTGCCCGAAGCAAGTGAGACGGTTCCTCCCGCTGTAAGTTTTCTGTTTCCGTCTCACCTGCTTGTCTCTAAGCAGCCCCAGCCTGTGATGGTTCGTTATCCCTGTCTGAACCTCTGACTGAGGGAGAACAGTCTGTTCTGAGGCTTGCGGTGGCTTGGCCCTGCGCTCTTAAAGGTGCAGGTTTTATAGGGAATCACATTGCATGGACCCAAGGGAAGCTGGGTACCCTGAAGACCAATGGCGTGGCCCCTGGGTTAATGTCTCTGAGGGACGGGCTGCCGAGAGACGGCAGGGCTGGGCAGTGGCCAGCGCTGGCTTAGGCCCTCACTGAGATGAAAGAGGGATTGTCACATCTCTCAGGAAAGCAGACGGGAAGTCAAGTGTCTGCAGCTGCGCAGGGGGATCCTGGGGCCGGCCCTGCTGTTTGGTTTCGGGTGCTTCACCCCAGAGTCTCTAAGATTGGCTCCGGTTGCACCTGAAAGGCATGACTGGCATGTGGGCAAGAAGGTGCCAGTGGCTCTGGACATGCTTAGTGCCAGGCCCGAGGGGCACCACTTGAAAGTGGGGCGTGTGTGGCCTCTATTCGAGGCCACTTGTTTGTTCAGTCACCACGGAAGCTGTTTGGGGTGAGGCTTGGTGAGCCTGAAAACAGCCCCAACCAACTGAAAGGGCGTGTTACTAGGGTCTGGAGCAGGTGAATGCACGTCCCCAGAGCCTCGTGGCTGGTCTTGACTGGCTACTCCCCAAACACTGCAACACTCCCCCCCACCCCCACACACACACCTGAGAACAAGCTGCCTGTCTCCAGGGGGCCTCACCGGCCGCATGGGACCATCTGATCGTACCCATCATGCCTCATCACGCACTGGGCGTCCTGGGTTCGAATGCGTGCCTCTGGTTGCCTTTTCCCTAACCTGGTGATTCTTCAAAGCTAGCCTCAGGTTGAGTCACTATTGGCTGTTGTGTCAAATGATTCTCTGGTTTTACAGGTGACCTCCCAGGTGTGCCGGCTGGATCCCCGCAGCCCCTGTTGCTAATAGTGACGCCTGTAAATGATCCCAAAGGAGAATCATGTCAGAGCTCTGTGGACTTCATCTTCAAAAATAGCCAAACAGCCCTAGCTGGTTTGGCACAGTGGATAGAGCATTGGCTTGCAGACCAATGGGTCCCAGGTTCGATTCTGGTCAAGGGTGCATGCCCCAGGTTGTGTGCTCAATCCCCAGTATGGGGTGTGCAGGGGGGCAGCCAATCAATGATTGTCATCATTGATGTTTCTATCTCTCCCTCTCTGAAATCAATAAAAAAGTATATTTTTGAAAATAGCCTAATAATTTGAGAGAAAATGAGTTTATTCCAGAACATCTTGGGCAATTAGTGAAATTGGGGAATAACCAAGAACATTCGGAAACCGCGGTATGGGATCTATTTCCTTGTGTATTGGTGCGGCTGCAGCGAACGGAAGGTGATTAACGTGTACAGAGTGTGCTCTTTTGTGGGAAGCAGGTGCTCCGCCTAGAAAAATGTTTCTCACAGTGGAATTCCTGTCAAGCACAAATAAACAGCTTCGAATGACTAGCATTGTGGATTTCAGATTGAGACCCAAGAACAGTACGTTGTGACTCGGCATTCCTCGGTAAATGAGTTTCACCGAACAACAATTGGGTTTAACAACACATAGGATGCAATCAGATGTGTTGGAGTGTTTGTAGGTTTCCCACTAAATTGATTTTATATCCCTTTATTTGGCTGCCAGAGGCCTTGCCTACCAGCCAGCCCTGTGGAGACCCCTGCCCCGCACAGTGCAGGCAGCAGACTCCTGGGAGCTGCTGGGTTGGGGATCCCAGGGCTAAGGGCTGGGTGTGCCAGCTGGGCTTCCAGTGGGCACCTATAAGGCCTGAGTGAGACTGCCTGTCAGTCAGGTTCCCATTGTTGGCACAAGCTCAGTGCTGAGTGAGGGGGTTCATTACAGGGTACCATCCTTTTGGTGACCAGGTGGCACTATGTCTAACAGGAATCCCCTCAGAGGCAGGCAGCCTTCTGTGTACTGGGCACCCCCATCAAATACCAGAACCTTCCATGGTTCTCTGATCGCCACGTCACACCCTGCATGGTACATTCTACTCCACACACACAGCGAAGGTAGCCATCCATGTTTATGCAATGATCTGGGGTTAGGTTACATTCTGCCCTCTGCGCCCCCTCCCCATGGCTCTCATATGGTGGTCATGGCCGCAGAAAGGTGAAGGCGTGTCCTTGAGAACTGGCTGGGAGTGTGCAGGTGCCAGTGATGGAGTGTGGCCGAGCCCTCCACTGACTTCCGGTGCTGCCCGGCTCCCGCTGGCCTTGGGTATGCCTGCCCTTGGTGCGGTGACAGTCACATCCTGGGAGTGTTGTCTGTCTCAGACTCGGGGTTTTCTTGGATGAGCCAAGGGCAAGATGGGGTGTTCACAGTGAACAGGCGGCAGTGATGTCACAAAGGCACCTCGGTGCCACCTGAGGGGAGGAGTGGGTCTCGGGGAGCTGGCCCCCGGCTGGGCAAGGGTCACGCTCGGTGCTGGTACAGGTGCAGGATGCCCGCCTTGTGCAGGTCCCACCACAGCTCTGCCTCCAGGGACAGATCGTGGTTTGCATAGAATATCAGTGGCTGCTTAACTCGGTCGTAGTAGTGGTCGGAGAATTTCCAGTAGTTACTTGTGATGAATCCATAGGCACTAACCTGCACAGAGACGCATCGAGCTGCTGTGTGCACACGTCAGGTGACAGGAATTCAGGAAAGCCCAAGTCCAGTCGCGCCCCTGCCCCACCCCCACCCCACACCTGTGTGAAGATGCAGGTGAACATGGTTGCAGCTCACAAATGAGATTCCCGCTTCACAGAGGCCCCGAGTCAGGTGGCCTCAGGTCACTGCCTGCCTTTGAGTCTTCCCTGTGGCCCCTGTGGTAGTCCCTCAGTGACCAGCGAGTGTGTGTGTGGTAACCCTGCTATCCCAGCCACTTCCGTTGAGAAGGCAGCTTTCAGAAGAGTAGATTGGTCATGTGCCTTGGTCATGTGTAGAGTGGCTGCCCTGGGATGAGGGCAGGGGGCTGGCCTCTCCAGGACCCTGGGTATTGGGTGCGATTCCCCCATGCCTTCCCCAGACCCCTCCTGCAGCTGGGGGATCCTTCCCCCACAAGACAGGCCCAGCAGGTGAGGTGAGAGGCTCTGGGATTAAACCGGTCCCATCCACACCTGCACTCTGTTCCCGAGAGCAGGCTCTTACCTGGTCACAGGTGTGTAACGCTGTCAGCAGCATGAGGGCCCCGGTACTAGGCATATATATGTCTTTAAATTTTGAGATAATCCGCTTTGATTTCAAAAACCTGGAAGCAAATCGGCATTGAAACTCATTTAGGTCTTGCATACCTGCTTGATAATTACATCATCACAGTGACCACCAAAAGGCCCCTCCCGCCGAGTCTCTCCTGGGGGACAGTGAGCTCCTGTGACCTCCGCTCCTGTGAGCCGCCTCCTTAGGCGACGGGTGCGGAAGAGGGTGGGCCCGTCGGGAGCCACAGCAGGATCCAGCCTGACTGCCACCTCCTGCCCTCCCCCCGGGCAGGCAGGCTGGCCTCGGCCCGTGTTTTCCTCTGCACGTGCTGCGATTGCTGGGCTCCCGCCTGCCCAGGCCCACCGTCCCCTCACTGCTCCCGGATCTCACCCAGCTGCTGCACTAGACACTTTCAAGGGCCAGTGGTTGAGCATCGACCTATGAACCAGGAGGTCACAGTTTGATTCCCAGTCAGGGCACAGGCCCAGGTTGCAGGCTCGATCAGAGTGGGGAGTGTGCAGGAGGCAGCCGATCAATGATCCTCTAATCTAGGGGTGTCGAACTCAATCAGAGAAGGGGCCAAAATCTAAAATCCAGCCTAAATCGCGGGCCGAATGGTTTACTGAACAGTCATAAACTATCATTGTGATGGAAACGCAGCGGAATGCAGTGATGACAGTGCGGTGCGGGCCACATTGCAAGGCCTGGCGGGACGGATTTGGCCCGCGGGCCTTGTGTTTGACACATGTGCTCTAATCATTGATGTTTTTCTCCCTCCCTCCCTCTCTGAAGTCAATGAGAATACATTTAAAAGTAAATGAAGGGCCAGGTCGCTCTCGGCTGCCGGGCGTCCTGTGCATTACAGATGGTCAGCAGCAGCCCTGGCCTCTCCTGCTAGTGGTGCTTGCACTCCTGGTGACCCTGCCCGGCCACAGAGAAGCACAGGCAGGGTCTGGGGAGGAGATCAGCTCTTGCTCCCTGGCTCCTCCCTATGCTCGTCTCAGCCTGAACACAGGTGGCAGCTCAGCTCCCATTACTGACCCGCACCCAGCCTGCGCCTGTGTGAACAGCCCTGGCGCCCCATCGGCGCTGCCCCATCCACCTATGAACCAGGAGGTCACCGTTTGATTCCTGATCAGGGCACACACCCGGGTTGCAGGCTTGATCCCCAGTGTGGGGCGTGCAGGAGGCAGCTGATCAATGATTCTCTCATTGATGCTTCTATACCTCTCCGTTCCTCTCTGAAATCAGTATTTTTTTTTAAAATATATTTTATTGATTTTGTACAGAGAGGAAGGGAGAGAGATAGAGAGTTAGAAACATCGATGAGAGATAGACATCGATCAGCTGCCTCTTGCACACCCCCTACTGGGGATATGCCCGCAACCAAGGTACATGCCTTTGACGGGAATCGAACCCGGGACCTTTCAGTCCACAAGCCGACGCTCTATCCATTGAGCCAAACCGGTCTTGGCTGAAATCAGTATTTTTAAAAAATAAACAGCCCTGGCAAATAGGCCTCGAGTCCTCCCCGGTTTCCTGATCCCCTGATTGACGCACCACCTCCACCGAGGCACGGAAGTAGAGACCAGACCAGTGGAAGGCCTCGGCAGGCGGCTCTGGCTCGGTTACAGCAGGTGGTCCTGAGGGCAGGCCTGCGGGGGCGGGGGAGGCGCTGTCTCCCACCACCTACCTCTCTGTCAGGTAGCTGATGAAGGCTGGGTGGAGCAGCTTGAATTTGCTGGCAGGGGCTTCTGGTCCGAAATAGGTGCGGGGCCTATTTGGAGATGAAGCGGACGGAGCGGTTGAGGCTCTCGAACTGCATGGAGCGGCGGTGGGGCAGGGTGCGGTAGTAGAAGCGCGGCTGGGAGTAGTAGCGGGAGAAGGGCGTGTAGAAGGTGGCGGGCAGCACCGAGGCCACCACCGGCGGCTTGGCGCCCACCAGCACGTCGGTGGGCAGCCTGTAGGTGAGCGAGCTCGGGGGCGTGAACAGGTTGGGGGGCGTCCGGAAGTTGCAGGTGGAGTTGGGGTAGTGGGGCGGGGGCGGGAGGAGGGGGAAGTAGAGGGAGTCCGGGGGCGGGGGGCGCTGGGGGGGGGTGGGCCGCCGCTCGTACTTGGGGGGCGGGCACAGGGGCAAGGAGGATGTGGGGGGCTGGAAGAAGGGGGGCTCCTTCAGGAAGCGGGGCACATAGGGGGTGATCTGGGCCGGGATGCCCGAAAGGGAAATGGACCCGATGTAGGACCCTGAGCTGATGGGGCTGTAGGAGGGGGACCTGGAGGAGTGCCCCGGGGGGGTCTGGGAGTGGTTTCGGGAGGCGGGCTTCACGCCAGACTGGGAGGGAGACTTGGAGGGGGGTGGGGTGGCGCTCTGGGGAGACGTGCGAGACACGTGTTGAGAATGAGGGCTGGGGTTCAGGGAGGGGTTGCGGGAGGTGGGTTGGGAGGTGGGTTGGGAGGGGGGTTGGGAAGCCGTAGGAGTGGAAGGGTGAGAGGGGCCGCGGGAGGAGGGCCGGGTGGGGGATGGGGACGGGGCTGAACCACCCGAGCTGGAGTAGGGCTGCTGGCTGGCTGGGCTGCTGTTGTAGTTGGTCCGGGACTGGGAGGGGGACTGGGTAGGGGACGGATTAGGGGTTTGGGAGGGGGAACTCATTGGTGTTGGGAAGGCTTGTGAGCACCCCAAGGGCCCTGAGCCAGCAGCCCCAGAGCCTGGCCCCCCTCCCATGTCACAAAGCCCCTCCTCTGACCCCTGAGCATTGTGGGTGATTGTTGGGTAACCACGGCGGGGGAGGGGCGGGGGAGGGGCGGGGGAGGGGCGGGGGAGGGGCGGGGGAGGGGCGGGGGGCCCCGCCGGGAGGGGGGGTGCTATCCTGGCCTTGGAGGGGGAACCGCCCCTCCCGGGCTGGGGGGCTCTGAGATTGGCGGGGTCCCTGTGTGGCCAGGGGTGGGGTGACTTCCCAGCACCTGATTCAGAGGAAGGGCCAGCAGCACCCTTCCTCAGCAGCAAGGGCCGGGCTGAGGCCAGGACGTGCTCAGGAGAGCTGGACCCAGGCCTGTGCCCAGGACACGGGCGGCCGGACAGAGTGCCCTTTGTTCCCGCTCCCGGGGCGCCGGGCCACAGGCCAGCCTTGGGAGGTGTCCGCCGGGAGGATGGCGTGGCGGCCGGCCCTCTGCTCTCCGGGCCGGCTGGCGGCAGGCTGGTTTGGGGACAGCAGCCCGGAGCTCAGAAGCCAGGTCTGCCTGCTCCTTCAGAACAGCGGCCCCTGGAGCCTGCAGCCAGCGGGCCGGGAGGTGCGGGGACCGGGAGGTGCAGAACGTGAGGCTTACCTGGCCCTCCTGGGGGGAAGGACAGCACCCCGAGCCCTGGGAGCTGCGCTTGCCCTCGCCCACCTGGCCTCCTGGGGGTCTCCGGGGCAGCGATGGCCTCCCCACGCCCTGCTCTGCGCGGCTGCTCACCTGTCACCCTTATCGTGGCCACTGGGGACCGGCACGCCCAGGACGGCCGATCTCAGCATCACGTAGTCACGGAGGCCTGAGGGGATGACGATGTAGCGCAGGTCCTGCGGGGACAGCAGGGCCGGCCGGTGGGAACAGGCCACGTCTGGTCCTGCCCGCAGGGAGGCCCTGCCCCCCCAGGACAGCCCCCTCCTCAGCAGCTCCATCCCGCAGCCAGGGGCCCAGGCTCGGGAGCCCTGGGCTCCCAGGCCTCACCGGCCCTTGGGGCACGGAGGTGAAGCCCGCTGCGCTGTAGGCGATGAGTGAGTTCTTCATGGTGTTCACAGTGAAGCCGTAGAAGGAGGTCTTGGTGCCCACGTCCTGCTCGAAGCCTTTGATCACAGCACCATTGAGTCTGGTCCAAACAGAGCCCATGACCGGGCGGTCACCCACGTGTTTGGGACTCCCTCCCCCCGGCCCGGCCACCCGGCCCCGCCTACAGGCCACTCCCCGGGCCAGGGGCCGGCTCCCATCCTCCTCCTCCACAGGACGCCCCTGCATCGAGCGGGCACATCTGTCCGGGCGGCTCCTTCCTCTCAGGGGCCGTGGCATGTCTGTCTGCACATGCCCGTGCCCATGCCTGTAACAACTGCAGAGCCACCTGGGGCTGCTGTGTGGCCCACACCATGGAGGATGCTCCCTCCGGGGACAGCTCCTCCCCACTCCTGCCTGCCCCCCTCCCCTCCCCCTGTCCCTTCCCCTCTTGTCACCCTCCCCTCCTCGCTGCCCCTGCTCTATGTACCTGAACACGTAGTCGTGGGCATCAATGTTGAGCCCCTGGCGGGAGCCATTGAGGATGCCCCCGTTGCCCACCACGGCGCACCGGACGCAGTCCCCACGCGGCTCCCTGGAGCCCAGCAGCTGGGCGCTCTCGGAGCTGTTGAGGAGGCTCAGGGTGGAGGCGATGTCTGTGGGTCGGGAGGGGACCTCATGCAGAGGCTGGCGTGGGGACAACAGCCCCTCCCAGGAGGCACACGGTGGGGGGTGACATGTCCGAGGGGGAAAGGTATTCCAGGAGGAATAACCTGGGCATGGGGGTGGGCGGAGCTAGTGGGGTGCGGGGAGGGGGGGTCTGACAGCAGCTCCGTCCGGCAGGCTGCTTGGGGCCCCATGCCCTGTCTTCTGCCAGGGAGGCCCCAGGGCGGTGAGAGCATTGGGGTGGGCGGGGAGCCAAGCCCCTCTCGCGGACCCCTGGTGCTTGTGGGCAGGAAAGTGAGCGGAGTCCGGAGTCCGGAGCCTGGGGTGGAGCTCAGCCTCCGGGGGGGAAGGGGCACCGGGCAGGGCCACATCCCAGTGCTGGGAGGGCAGGAAGGCCTGGCCTCAGGGCCTACAGCCAGCTGGGGCCAGGGGTGAGGTTACCTTGGCGGGGGAGCCCCTGCCAGCCGTAGGGGGCTCTGCGCTGGCTCAGGCTGTCCCAGAGCTCCTGGGAGAAGAGGCCCCCGGCCAGCAGCACCGGCTGCGAGAAGTTGAACAGAGCCCGGAAGTGGGGGTGCTGCTGGACGGCCTGAGCGAGCGAGTGTCTGCAGGGCCTGCTCTGTGGGTGAGAAGAGAGAGGGCTGAACTCGGGGGCTGGGAACCTTCCAGGAGCTGAAGGCCCCACGGGGGTGGGAGGGAAGAGGTGGCCTCCCTCCTCCAGACTTGGGGATCAGAGAGCTTTCTGGGTTTCCCCTGCCCAGCCCCCTGGACGCCACATCTCTGTGGCCTGCTGGCTCTGCCTCCGGCTCCAGCTCCTCACTCGGGGGTAAATTTTGGGGCGTTTTCCCACCTATGGGTGAGACCTGCCCGCCTTTGGAGGAGGTGAGCTAGCCAATTCTCTGGGGTCTCCTGTGGGCTCTGGCATCTTGCTGCGGGGCTGGGAGACAGGGCTGCGGGAGACGCAAGCGTGTGTTTCTTCCAGCCGCTGCTCACGCTGCGCTGAACGGTGTCTACCCGGAGTCCTGTCTGCCCAGACCCTCGGGACGCGGCCTGGTTGGAAGTGGGGCCTGTGCAGATGGAGGTTGAGATGAGGTCACACTGCAACCAGGTGAGCCCCAAGCTCAGTGCCCCTCGAGGAAGCCCCGTGTTGACAGCAGAGTGCGGGACGTGGCTACAGGCCGAGGAGGCCTGGAGCCCCAGAAGGTGCAGGCGGCCAGGACGCGTCCCCCAGACAGTCCCGCGGACGCCTGGGTGTCAGCCTTCTGGCCTCTGGGACTGCGAGGAACAATGTCTCTCGTTTTAAGCCACCGCGTTTGTCCTAGGAAACTGAGCATAGTAACCTCCCTCTGTAAAAACTGCTGCTTGAAATATTAACCCTGCTATTCTGGCCTCTGTAAACGCTTGCTTGCTTAAATAATAGGGAAAATGAGGCCACTCCCATCCAGAGAGGCCGACAGAGTTGTCAGTGCTGGCAGCAGGCCTTGAGAGACGGTCTCACGGCCCTGTCCCAGTACACAGGACTTTTCTCAGAAGTCTGCAAGTCTTGTTCCAAATTTGGAAGACAAAGAACTGAAAAAGGTATATGTAGAAAGGACTTCCTCTGTTTGGGGCCCCAGAATTTGAGAAGCAAGTATTTCCTCTGGGCCTGCTGGCACTAGCAAAATGAAAAAGACTCCAAATAAACATGACTTATCGATGAAGGCGTCTTCTGATTTACAACCTAACAAACCTCTCAGTGCCTGGGCACACAGAGACCTGGGGGGAGGAGGGCAGATACCGAACAGGCCCCGGGGCAGAGTCCCACCCCGATGCCTGGCGGGCTTCTTCCCCGAGGGGCCTCCTGGTCAGGGTGCCGGTTTGGTCAGGGCCCCGCAGGGAAGAGCTGCATGCGGTCATTCCTGCTGTAATGTGACGCAGACGTTCCTCGGTGACCTTGAAGCTGTGCACTCAGGCGCCAGGGCTTGTGGGAAACGGGCTGGGGCCCAGCACTCGCCCACAGGCGCTCAGCACCGGGGGACGTGAGCGCTGCTCATTGTGGCGTTTGACCTCGGAGAGCCACTGTGGCCTGGGCATCGCCGGGCGGCTCCTGAGCTCTATGGAATGGCAGGGGAGGGTTTACCACCGACGGGGCAGGCGGAGTGTGTGTGCACGCATGTGTGTTCCTCCACGTCCCTTCCTGGGGGTGGCGCTCGCGTGTCCCCGGTGCTCTCCCCGGCACTGGCTCGGAGCACACACAGCTTGTGCAGCACATGGCGCAGCGTCCCTGCTGCTCCCTCCTCCGGGCCAGCTCAGGGCTCTCGGCTTCGCCTCGGGAGGCTGTGTGGCCCTCGGGCAGCCGGCCGCTTTCCCCCGGGACCTGCCAGGGAGCTCAGGGCCAGTCCCCGGCCTGTCTCACCTGGTGGCACTGCTGCCGTGCGCTTACCAGCCATCTCACTTTCCAACCTTTTCCTTTGCAGTTTCTTTATTTTATTCGCTTTGTTTTTGCCTGGTTATATGTACTTAAAAGCTACCTCAAGTCCTTTTAAACCGGAGGGGGTACTTGCCACTTAGCCACAAGCAGCTCAGGGGAAGGACTTGAGTGTGAAGATGATCTGGCCCCGGCTGCTGTGGCTCAGTGGATAGAGCCTCGGCCTGCGGACTGAAGGGACCCAGGTTCGATTCTGGTCAAGGACACCGGCCCAGGTTGCGGGCTCAGTGCCCAGTAGGGGGTGTGCAGGAGGCAGCCAATCAACGATTCTCTCTCATCGTTGATGTTTCTATCTCTTTCTCTACCTTCCTCTCTGAAACCAATAAAAATATATTAAAAAAGGAAAAAGATGACCTGGCCAAGCACGCTCTGCGGCTCTGGTTCAGAGCAGGTTCTGGGGCAGAGGCTCAAACCCCAGCGCCACCTCTCCCCCCACGGGCCCTGAGCCGGAGTCTGATCCTCGCCGTGAGGCTCACGTGTGAGAGCGCAGGTCAGGTGCTGGGGTGGCACCTCACCCACAGCCGCCACGGGCTCCGCTGCACAGCTGGGCCGGAAGGGTCTCACACCCTCAAGGCAAACACGGTCGTCTCCCCAGGGCTTGGTGTCTGCTCTGGCGAGCGGTTTCAGTGTGGCTTCTATAGTAAGAAGGCATTTGGGGAAGTAGAACCTCAAACCCACAGGCCTTTTCCACATAAATCACAGGACTTCCAAGAACTGCTCAGCTGGCTGTGCCCCAGGGGGCCTACTGCTCCGTCCTCTCTCGGGGGCAGAGGGCCCAGTGGCCAGGTCTGAGGAGCCCTGATGGCTGTTGGCTTCATTCTGGGGCCCAGGGGTGGGGCCCGAAGAGCTTGTCCTCCTGGGCTTGTCTTCCTGCCCCCCTCCCCGCTGACGGGAGATGCTCTGAGCACAGAGTGCGGCCACTATACCTTCCTCGTCCCAGAAAGCGCTGCCTCGGGTCCAGTGAACGCTGTGGTGGTCCTGGGAGAGAAGGCACACGTCAGGGGTCTGGCTCCGTCAGGGTCAAAGGCTTCCGTCCCTCTGACCCTATTTCTGAGCTGATGCCTGCTCGGGCCTCGCTCCTGAGGCACAGAGTGCTCCCACACAATTACGTCTGACCGCCGGATCCCCGAGGGGAGAGACCCTGGCAAGCAGCAGCATGTGCGTTCACAGGGCCAGTGGTTCAGAGACGAAGATACGGCGCTGCTTGGTTGCTCAGTGGTTAGAGGCCGGCCCCCTGACCGAAGAATTGAGGGTTCGATTCCCGGGCATGTACCTCTTACAGGTTTGATCCCGGCTCTGGTCCAAGCGCGTATAGGAGGCAACCAGTCCATGTGTCTCTCTCACATCAATGTTCCTCTCTCTCTCTCCCCCTCCCCCACCCTTCCAAGCTCCCTCTAAAGATCAATGGGGGGGAAATATCCTCAGGTAAGGATTAAAAGCAAACAAGATGAAAGCTTGCCAGCCCGCTGGAATTGTGACCATATGAGAGGGTGCCCTTGGCGACGGTGGGGGAGGTGGGGCGGGGAAAGGGTCACCCTGGCTCCAGCCCTCAGGGTTACGGTCAAGGGCAGGTCTGCCCCCGACTCCCGGAGTCTGCAGTCCATGATCTCGGGAAGTTACTAAACTCGGAACCTGAGTCCGAGCCAGGACAGCAGGGATAACCGTGTTGACATGACCGGTAATCCCGTCACGTGTCACCCAGTTGTGAGTCCAAACGGAGCACCTGTTCCCTCACACCGTGTCCTCTACCCAAACGTTACTATGGTTACCAGCCTCTGGCCGGTGTCCCTTCGGCAGGGGCAAGAGGCTGAGGTTATGGCCCAGCCCCACCTCCCAGGAGGCTCCAGGCAAAGGGGAACCTCCACCCCGGAAGGAAGGAGGGGGCCCTGGCCTCTCCGCCCCCCTGCCCTCTGCACAGGAGCAGGCGGCCTGCGGGGAACAAAGGCCCTTGTTGTTTGCTCTGAGCTCGGGACAGCGCGTCACAATGAAGTCTGCCCTGCCTCCCTGCAGGTTTCTGAGGCCGGAGGGCGGGCAGGGCACCCCCATAACCGGCCACCTGGCCACCCACTCGTCCTGTGGTTCCGTCCATGGGCACAGCAGGGCCTCTGGGGAGGAACCGGGACGCTTCTCTCGGCCTAGAGCCCGCAGTGAGCTGAAAGCACTGGCCTCGGCCCCACCCGGAGGCTCTGACTGATGGGCGGCTGGCGGAGGACAGGCAGGATGCAGACAAGAGGGAGAGGTCAGGGGACGAGGGGGGCCTGCCCTGCACCCCCCAGTCTCAGGGAGGCTGCTCATCTCTAGGCGCCGTCAGTGCCCAGGTCTCCCAGCCCCGCGCAGCTCTGAGGACTCCCTGGGAGGTGCCTGCGGGAGGCAACCAACCAGTGTGTGTGTCTTCCCTCCCTCCTCTTCCACTCTCTCTAAAAATCAACGGGAAAATATCCTCAGGTAAGGATTAGCCAAAAGTACATACGTACATACGTACATACATACATACATACATACATAAAGCTTTGTTGAGGTATAATGGGGATGTGCAGCAAACCTCATATTTAAAAGTGTATCCAATACTTTCAAAGGACGTTTAATGGTATATTATTATTTAATTTTTTGTTAATCTTCCCCAGAGGATATTTTTTCCATTTATTTTTAGAGAGTGGAAGGGAGGTAGGGAAGGAGAGAGAGAGAGAGAGAGAGAGAGAGAGAGAGAGAGAGAGAGAGATATCACAGGTCCACACTGGCCAGGGCTGTCTGTATTTTCAAACATCCTATAATAAAAGCCTAATATGCTAAGTGCCCAGTTTTCTGTTCAACCAATCAAAGTGTACTATGCTGATGATATGCTAGGGCCACTCAATAGCTCACTATGATAAGCACTGACCACCAGGGGGCAGACACTGTGACAGTCCAGCCACTTGGAACTGAGTGAGACAGGCCGGATGTGCCCTGGAACCCTCCCACGGTCCCTCCTCGGCTGGCCAACCTCCCGCATCCCTCCCGCATCCCTCCCCAGTCCCGATGGTGCACCGCAGGGTCCCTCGGCCTGGCCTGTGCCCTCTCGCAATCGGACCCCTCGGGATGTTGGGGAGCCAATGTCAGCCTGATCCCACAGGCCAGGCCTCTAGTCTTTACATAAAGTTCACAAGATCCCTTCCTTAGCAGCTCACCCCTCTCCAGCTCTTCCCTTATGTAATTTCCCACCACAGGAGATTCCATAACTTCAGCCGTGACTGCTGGCTAGAGCGCCCTTCATTCTGGAGGGACTGAGCGAGCTTTGTTTTGTAACTGTGGGTGTCCTCTGTCCCCCCACCAAGCAGGCTAGGGTTTGCTTTCGTCCCATTCCACCTGCAGCAAGGGACCAGGCTGAGCGCGGAAGGGCAGGTGCGAAGGCGCTGGGGAGCCCCTGCAGCCCCCACCCGGGCTGTCCGCGGCGGCTCCGGGCTGGAGCCCACCGGCAGGCTCGGGTTTCTCCCCGCGGGGCGCACCTGAAGGCAGGTGCCGGGGCGCTGGGAGGGGGCAGAGCGCGGAGGGCAAACCTGCCTGGAGCCCAGAGCTGGCCCCGCTCCCGGGAGTCCGCCCGGCGGCGCTTATCCACCCGACGAACCGCGGGCAGAGGGAGCCGCCCGGGCAGGCAGGGACGGCGCCAGGGCGCGGGGATCCGGCCACGTGGGAACCGGAAGACGTGGGTCCTGGCCCCCAAAGTTACCGAGAGGGCTCCCCGCAAACGGGAGAGAGGGCTCCCCGCAGACACGGGAGGGGGGTCCCCGCAGACACCGGGGAGAAGGGGCTGGGAGAGGGGCTCCCCGCACACACGGGGGAGAGAGGGCTCCCCGCACACACGGGAGAGGGGCTCCCCGCACACACGGGGGGGAGAGGGCTCCCCGCAGACACGGGGCTGTGTGATCGGACGCAGAGTTTCCCATCGGGGCGCGGGGGGACACCTGCAGGCGGGGCGCACGGGCAGGTCCCGGGACGAGGCTGTGGTCCCGGCAGCGCGGTCGGACGGAGAGGGGGTCCGGGTCCCGCTGGAGCCGCCCGCCCGCCCCCTCAGTCCGGCCGCCCTACCTGGCTCCGGCCCAGAGCCCCGGGCGCGGCCCCGCCGCGGAGAGGAGCGTGAGGAGGATCCCCGCGCCCACGGCGCCGAGCAGCAGCAGCCGCCAGAGCAGCGCGCCGCGCGGGAGCCCCATGCAGCCCCGCCGGGCGCCCCGTCTGCGGTCCCCCGGGAGCCGGCGCCTCCGAGGCCGCGGCCCCGCCCCGCCCCGCCCGCCTCCGCGCCCGCCCCGCCCGCCCCCGCCCGGACCGCCCGCCCCGCCCGGACCGGCCTCCGGAAGCGCCCGCCGACGGGTGGGGCTGGGGAGGCGGGAGTCGCCGGCGGCCCGCCCCGCCCTGTGCCCGGTGGCCCGGAGCTGCGGGCGCCCTCCCCGCCGGGGCCTCGCCCTGCGCCTGTCCGGCTCCCGGATTCCCGAGGCGGCGGGGCGGCCCCTCGAAAGGCGCCCCAGAATCCCCGTGGGGCCTGGCCGCGGACCGGGGGCTGAGCGCCGGCCTAGGACCGGGCATGGTCAGGGCACAGGTCCGGGCCGCTCCATCCCCAGCGGGGCGCGCAGGCGGCAGCCGGCCGTGGTTCCCTCTCACTGATGTTGCTCGCTCTCTCCCTCTCCCCTCCGCTCTGGAGTCAGTACAAATGTGGAAGGAATGGGGGTGGTGTGAGCATCTGGGGCCTTTCCGGAATCTGGGGATTGGGTGTGATGAGCCGGTTCACCCAACAGCTGAGATGGGGAGGGTGGAGGACCCCAGACGCTCCGCGCTGACGGTGGGCTGAGGCCGGAGCCTGCAGGATGGGCTGAGGGGAGCGGAGGCTGCAGGATGGGCTGGGGGGAGCGGAGGCTGCAGGATGGGCTGAGGGGAGCGGAGGCTGCAGGATGGGCTGGGGGGAGCGGAGGCTGCAGGATGGTCTGGGGGGGAGCGGAGGCCTGCAGGATGGGCTGGGGGGGAGCGGAGGCTGCAGGATGGGCTGGGGGGGAGCGGAGGCTGCAGGATGGGCTGAGGGGAGCGGAGGCTGCAGGATGGGCTGGGGGGGAGCGGAGGCTGCAGGATGGGCTGGGGGGCGCGGAGGCTGCAGGATGGGCTGGGGGGGAGCGGAGGCTGCAGGATGGGCTGGGGGGAGCGGAGGCTGCAGGATGGGCTGGGGGGAGCGGAGGCTGCAGGATGGGCTGGGGGAGCGGAGGCTGCAGGATGGGCTGGGGGGAGCGGAGGCTGCAGGATGGGCTGGGGGGAGCGGAGGCTGCAGGATGGGCTGGGGGGGAGCGGAGGCTGCAGGATGGGCTGGGGGGGAGCGGAGGCTGCAGGATGGGCTGGGGGGGAGCGGAGGCTGCAGGATGGGCTGGGGGGGAGCGGCGGCTGCAGATGGGCTGGGGGGAGCGGAGGCTGCAGGATGGGCTGGGGGGGGAGCGGAGGCTGCAGGATGGGCTGGGGGGAGCGGAGGCTGCAGGATGGGCTGGGGGGGAGCGGAGGCTGCAGGATGGGCTGGGGGGAGCGGAGGCTGCAGGATGGGCTGGGGGAGCGGAGGCTGCAGGATGGGCTGGGGGGAGCGGAGGCTGCAGGATGGGCTGGGGGGAGCGGAGGCTGCAGGATGGGCTGGGGGGGAGCGGAGGCTGCAGGATGGGCTGGAGGGGAGCGGAGGCTGCAGGATGGGCTGAGGGGAGCGGAGGCTGCAGGATGGGCTGGGGGGGAGCGGAGGCTGCAGGATGGGCTGGGGAGCGGAGGCTGTGCGCTGCTCACTTGGTGACTGTCCTTGGCGGCCAGGCCCTCATGCCCTGCATCCCCTTTACAAAGCGAGGCCCCTGGAGGTCTGAGCGCAGGGGGAGCACCGAGAGTCTCTGGCAGGGGCTTCCGAGTCCGCAGGAGGAGGAGTGCGGGCACCTGTGCTCTGACACAGAGCCCCACCCCCACCATTTCCCCTGTGGTGACTGTTCTCCAGTGGGCATGCTCCTGGGCAGAGCCCTGGGACCTGTGAAACCCTCCAGCGCCCCCCAACGGTCAGGAGCTGCAGGGACCAGAGGGACCTGGCCCCGGCCCCAGCTTTCTGATCTCACCTGTGGGGCAAGTCTGCTCTCACCTTAGTCAATTGCAAGTCTTCCCAAAAGCTTCCCGGAGCCATGCCTGTGGTCAGGATGGGTCATTTAGTCTCAGTTCTCGTGATTAAAAAAAAACACCTGCATTGCCCAGCCAGTGCGGCTCAGTGGTTGAGCATCAACTTATGAACAGAGGTCACAGTTCTATATATTATGGTCAGGGCACAGAGGAAGGGAGAGGGAGAGAAAGATAGAAACAGCAGTGATGAGAGAGAATCATTGATCGGCTGCCTCCTGCACAACCCTGCTGGGGATGGGGCCCCTACCCTGGGCATGAGCCCTTGACCGGAATCGAACCCAGGACCCTTCAGTCCAAAGGCCAATGCTTTGCCGGGACCGGTTTGGCTCAATGGATAGAGCGTCGGCTTGGGGACTGAAGGGCCCCGGGTTCGATTCCGGTCAAGGGCATGTACCTTGGTTGCGGGCATATCCCCAGTAGGGGATGTGCAAGAGGCAGCTGATCGATGACTCTCTCTCATTGATGTTTCTAACTATCTCTCTCCCTTCCTCTCTGTACAAAAATCAATAAAATATATTTTTTAAAAAATCAACAACAAAAAAAAAAACAAAGGCCAATGCTTTATCCACTGAGCCAAACCAGCTAGGGTGAGGATATTTCTAGGGAGAGTGGAAGAGAGAGAGAAAGACAGAGAGAAACATCGATGTGAGAGAAACACAGCGATTGATTGCCTGCTGCACGCACTCTGACCAGGGCCCAGGCCAGGGAGGAGTCTGCAACCAAGGTACATGCCCCTGACCTGAATGGAACCCAGGACCCTTTGGTCTGCAGGTTGACGCTCTATCCACTGAGCCACACCAGCCAGGGCAAAAATATATTTAAAAAAAAGAAAAGAAAAGAAAAGAAAAGAAATGGGACGTTTTAGATAATATATTGTAGCAACTCTGGGTCCTGGGAACCCTCTCCCCGCTGATTCGCTGTCTCCTTAGTGATTGGCAGGCTTGTTTTGTGAAGTCCCACCCTCACTCCCTTGAAGGGTTAGGCCCTGGATGTTGCTCTGCAGGGAAGCAGGTCAGTGCACTCACTGGCCTGGGAGGCAGAGATGGGCTGGGCTCTTCCCATCTCTTCCCCTGACTCCAGCAGTTAAGCTCCGTTCGGCCTGCTGATTGCCCTATGCTTACAAGATTGGCGAGGAGCTGATCCTTCTTATATTAATGATTACATAGGTCATTATCTATAGGAGCTGCAAAGGGCAGCTCGTTACTCAATTCTTTTTACTTTGCTTGAATATGTTTGTATATGCTTGAAATTTTCCATCTCATAAAGTTAAATTTATTTCTTTGTCTGTATGTGAAATAGACCTCATCAGATTCTTTAGAAATATAAGGTCATCATTAAGTTGAATTAAAATCTTGAAAAGTATTTATAGATACTTTTCACTCAAGAGGTGGATTATGGTTTTACAAAACCGAGTAATGAAAACTTCCAAGTATTCCGTGTTCTGAAACCATCTTGTGTAAGCATCTTTGTAAAAATACAAAGATTCGCCTATTTCTCACTATCCGAAATGGCATGGAATTACAAGTAAGTTCCTAATCAAAATTTATTAAATGTGGTAATGATATACCACAGGCTGGTTTTGTCATTGCAATCAAAACCATCTTTAGGTGGTTAGTTATTTTATGGGAAAAAAAGCCATGATGGACATGGTTCCAGTTGTATTTCAGGAATCTATAAGAAGACACATTTATGCACTGAATTGAGCTGAGTGGAAACTGAGCTTGCAAAAAGCTGACGACTGAATTTTAAATATTAGCTGGGATGTTCTGGGTCTGGGATTAGCGCTTGTGATTCAGACAATTAGAGCCCAAAGCTTTTCAAGATTTAAAAGGGTTTTTAAATATTTTTTCTATAGACCTAGTCCTGGGAAGTTTTTTTCAACCTCTTAGAAATGTTAATTTCTTTAAAAGATAAGTGATTTGGCCGAAACCGGTTTGGCTCAGTGGATAGAGTGTCGGTCTGTGGACTGAAGGGTCCCGGGTTCGATTTCGGTCAAGGGCATGTACCTTGGTTGCGGACATATCCCCAGTAGTAAGTATGCAGGAGGCAGCTGATCGATATCTCTCTCTCATCGATGTTTCTAACTCTATCCCTCTTCCTCTCTGTAAAAAATCAATAAAATACATGTTTTAAAAAAGATAATAAATCTAGCCGAGACCGGTTTGGCTCAATGGATAGAGCATCGGCTTGGGGACTGAAGGGTCCCGGGTTCGATTCCAGTCAAGGGCATGTACCTTGGTTGCAGGCATATCCCCAGTGGGGGGTGTGCAAGAGGCAGCTGATCGATGACTCTCTCTCGTCAATGTTTCTAACTCTCTATCTCTCTCCCTTCCTCTCTGTAAAAAAAATCAATAAAATATATTTTAAAAAAAAGATAATAAACCTTAAAAGTATTCCCAGCACATTTTTTTTGTTAGTTTGGAATCCAAATTGGACCCATTTGCTATCTTGGTCCTAAATACTTTTCAAATCTGTGTTCATCTCTTCAGCCACATGGCGTGCACTGGCTGTGTCCCCCGCGATACAGCTGTCCTCTGACTCCCCCATCTCTCCTTGTGTCACTCAGCTCGTAGCCACTGGGACGTGTGTGAGGCGGAGACTCCTGTGTGGTCCACGTCACTGACGGTGACCCGCAAGCCGGGGCACAGACAGGAAAGCCCGCCCTCCGGTGCAGAGACAGGGCAGGAGCTGAAGGGTGACCGTGTACCTCGTCACACGTGCACACGTGGGCACTGGAACACGTGGAGTGCTTGCTTATCAGAGCCCAGCTGACGAAGAAGGCTTACAGTAAAAGCTTGTTTTATTTTAAAAAATATATTCTTATTGATCTCAGAGAGGAAGGAAGAAGGGGGAGAGATAGAAACATCATTGATGAGAGAGAATCATAGATCTGCTGCCTACTCACACCCCCTACTGGGGACCAGGCCTGCAAACGGGCATGTGCCCTTCTCTGGAATCGAACCCCGGACCCTTCAGTCTGCAGGCCGACGGACGCTCTCTCCACTGACCCAAACCGGCTAGGGCTCTGGAAAAATTTTAAGACATGATTAAGCTGAAAACACTAAACTAAATTCTTCATGGGCTCCG